CACTGGCCTCTGCCTAAGGACAGGAACTGCTCGATGCCACCCAGGCACCTCATAGCAGCTTATGACTAAGATGCTGCTGGCATGATGGATGCTAGAGAGATGGTGTTGGAGGCCCCTGTGTCCCTCTATGGACCTCCAAGCCAGCTGGATCCTTCTCAGGGCTCTCTGTTCCCCAATGGCACCACATGAGCAGCTCCCAGCCATGGGTGAGCAGCTCCCAGCTTGTTCCTGCAGATCCTGGTGGAGTACGACATCACCTTGGTGCAGGAAGTGAGGGATTCTGACCTGAGCTCGGTGAATAAGCTGATGTCCCAGCTCAACAGGTGACCCTGATGGCACTGGGTGCCGGGTGCCAGCAAATGGGTGCTGGGGCAGAGCCTGGGCAGCATCTTGCTGCACTGCAACACCTCCAGCATGGCCAGAGAGATCCTCCCTCACTGTCTCTGCGTTTTCCTCCCAGCGCATCATCGTACCCCTACAGCTTTTTGAGCAGCATCCCCCTGGGTCGGAACAGCTACAAGGAGCAGTACGTCTTTATCTACAGGTAAGGGATGCCACCAGTGTCCCCCTGCCAACTGCTGTCCCATCCTGGAGGGAGCTGCACCTTCCCACTCTCCTCCTTCAGGTCAGACATTGTCTCTGTGCTGGAAAGCTACTACTATGACGATGGCTGCGAGTCCTGCGGGACAGACATCTTCAGCAGGGAGCCCTTCATCGTGAAGTTCTCCTCTCCCACCACACGTGAGCAGAGCCACCACATGGTGGCTGTGTCACTGTTCCCACTGACACTGCTGCCCCCAGCCCCACCAGCCCGACTGCTGGCCTATGGGGCTGCCTGAACCCATCATAGGGTCCCCACTGTGGTCACTCATTGCTGCAGGGGCTTCTCCCATCTGAAGGTGCCCCAGGGTTTTCCCACATTGTCCCATCTTCCATCACCTCACAGCTTCCATCACGGGGCACTTTCACACACTCCCATCTCTCCTCCACCTCCTGCCTCCTTCCCAAAACCACGAGAGCTTGGGAAAAAGGAGAGCAACAGAGCTCATAGGCTGCCCTGGCTCCATGCCCGGGGGCTGACGGCTGTGTCCTTGTCAGAGGTGGACGAATTTGTCATCGTGCCCCTGCACGCAGAGCCCAGCAATGCCCCGGCTGAGATCGACGCACTTGCTGACGTCTACACGGATGTCATTGACAAGTGGGCAACCAATGTAAGTGGCACTGAGATGTCCCTGCTCCTTCCCTGGGACGCAGGAGGGCTGTAGCACATCCCAGCAGCCATGCATAGATGGATGCATCTCATGGAAGACCTTGTGTGCCTGTCGGAGTGGGTGCCACCCCACAGTGTGTGGGCATAGAGATGGCATAGAGCTGCAGGCTGGCTCCAATGCCCTCTCTGCCACAGAGAGCTGGATGGGTCCTGCTGCCCTGTGTGAGTCTGGGGAGCCATTGCTGCCATGTCATGTCCGTTCCTAGCCTATAGGCATGGCTGAAAGGCTCTGGAGGGCTGCCCACACCAGATATATGGCCACGAAACCCCACTGACTCTTGGGGCAACCCGAGATCAGGGCTCACTGCTGGGCATTGGACCCGTGCGCAGCCATGCTGTGGGCACCAGGGCCATGAGCCAGGCTCAGCGCAGTGCTGCCCTGCAGAACATCTTCTTCATGGGTGACTTCAACGCTGACTGCTCCTACGTGACCGCGGAGCAGTGGCCCTCCATCCGCCTGCGCTCCCTGAGCTCCTGCGAGTGGCTCATCCCCGACAGCGCCGACACCACCGTCACCAGCACCGACTGCGCCTATGACCGGTGGGTGGCACAACAGTGGGCACGGGGACTGCCATGGGGAGAGCAGCAGGTGCTGACCCCCCCATTGCCCTGACAGCATCGTTGCTTGTGGCTCTGAGCTGCGCCAAGCGGTTGAGTATGGCTCTGCTAAAGTCAACAACTTCCAGGAGACTTTCCGTATCCAGAACAAGGATGTGAGTGAAGGGGCAGGGGCTGGGTGATGGCAGGGGCCTGCTGAGGGGCTGATGGTTTCACCTGGTGCTGTGTTAATCCAATCTACAAAGCCTCTGTGAGTATGCACAGGCATCCAAAAGTGGCCCTGCTGCAACCTGTGCACCACTGCAAAGCAACATTTGGGGTCTGGTCTGCATTTGGGGCTGGAGTAGAACCTTTGTGCCCCAGCTGGACGCAGCAAGGAGACCAGACCTGGGCAAGCAAAGCCACCCCTCTGCTTTCCCTGCACTCAGGCTTTGGCCATCAGTGACCATTTCCCAGTGGAGGTGACGCTGAAGGCCTGCTGAGACCTGCGCCAACAGCCAGCGGCGAGGAGTCCACGCACCACCAGCTCCAACAAAGCTCTGTGACCGTTTGATTTGCTGCGTGCTGCCTTTGCAAGGAGCCAGCCCTCGGGGGTCCTTCCATTGTGGGATGCCCTCAGCTTGCATTAAAATGATGTCATGTGCAGCCCTTGTGCTCTGGAGACAGACTCAGGCTCAGTTGGTGGCAGGGTGCTGCTCCCACACGAGTGCCATCAGTGAGCTCACATCCCCATGATCACACACCCCATAAGCACCATCCTGTGTGCGTGCTGTGCGCCCCCACCTGCCCACTGATGCACACACTCCCTCTCATACACACTCCACCATATGCACATTATCCCATGTGCACACAAACACACTCCCTTGCACACATCCTGCCCTGCAAACCCCACCATCTCCTGTGTGTCCCAGAGCAGCCCCATGCATGTGCCTTCGCTCCCATCCTATAGGACTCATTTCCACTTCTCTATGCCACATTTTGGGGACACACCTAAGGGCATGAGGGTGCTCAGCAAAGGAACACCCCTAGGGAACAACCATGTGGTCGGCAGGATGCTCAGGGTGCTCACCCATTTGCCTCCACCTCCCGTGCAAAGCTCAGCAACCCCCTCCCATGTGGCATCCCTGTCATGGAGCCAAGATGAGAACATCAGGCCCTGTAGGTGGGAAGGGCAGCTCCTATCTGAGCAAGTAAGAAAGCAGGCTGCTGGGAAAGGCCTGGGAGGGTTCAGGCAGGACCTGTCACTCTTGCTGAGTCGCGTGACGCAAGCAGCTTTTCCTACATCATGGGGCCACATCCTGCTGGAGCCCTCCTGGCTGCAGGGTGTCTGATGGGTGCTGGTGATGATGGTGGCAGGTGGTGGAGGATGTGAGTCAGCTCCCACTCAGTGGTGCGGTGCCTTCCCGGGGGTTTCAGTGCTTTCTCAGAGTTTCAATGCCTTCCCAGGTGTTTTGATACCTTCCCAGGGTTTCAGTGTCTCCCCAGGGCTTTCAGTGCCTTCCTGGGGGTTTCAGTACCTGTGGATGAAGAGTCCCACCTGGATGTTTCATGCCCTGTAGGACCCTACATGCTCCAGCAGCCCCGCTGCCAGGGAGGGCCATGCCTTGGGGCATCCGTCCCAGAGGAGAAAGAGGAAACGCTTCTCCCAAAGGAACTGGGCCACACGCTGCCTGCAGGGATGGTGCAAAGCCTGAGCTTAGCAATCCTGCAGGAATGCAAAAGTGTACGCGAGGGCACCGGACTCACCCCGTGACTGATGGTGAGGATGCCATGCCAGTGGTGTGTGCAACAGCCTGATGAGTCCCGGCATGATGAGGTCACCTCCCTAGCTGCCAGCTCTGTCCCCTGACCCTCTGGGATGAGGTGTGTGCACGGGGACCCTGGGATATGGTCCCAGCCATGTTGCAGCCTCACCAGTGGGACTGGGTCGGCACCACACCCTGGACTGCATTGAGTCAAGAGCAGGGCTGCTTTGTGCAACCAGTGGAACTGCTTTGGGTGCCCAATAGAGCTGCTTGAGGCCACCTGCAGGGTTGCTTTGGGTGACCAGTGGGGTGATTCTGGCTGACCATTGCAGCTGCTCCAGTCATTTGCGGCTCACCCCTTGCACAGAGGCCCGTCGTGCCACTGAAGATCCAACCGGCTTGACCCGAATGCCCTGCCGTTTCCTTCTGTTCCTTCTAATTACATGTCTGAATCACTTGCATTAAGGCCATCCCCTCCAGTCACCTGCCTTTCCCCTCCCCCCCCCCATGGCATAGTGCTGGGCTGGGGGCACTGCCAGTTACCCACCCCAGCTGCACACCTCGAGCTCCCCACATTCCCCACTGGGCTGCCCCACTGCCCCCACTCCTCCCCAGCCCCTTCTTGGTGTTGAGCTCAGAGATGCTGACGCTGGCCCCACCCTGCCCCTGTGCGGGTTTTGGTTTCCCAATGTAGGAAGCAGCCCAAATCTGTGCCAAAACACCCACGGGGGTGTCCGACTCATCCTGCTTTTCCAGCATCTCAGCTGGGAATAAAACAGCCCGCCTGCTGCCGGCAGGGCAGAAGTGCTGCGTGCTCACACGGTAAGGATGGAGCTGGGGCTCAGTGCCTTTCAGGGCTGTGATGTGATGGGTTGGGAGCCAGGTACCTGTGGTATGGGCACTCACTGTGGTTCATCCACGGAACTGGAGGAACCAGGGTCTGCTGGAATTAGGAGTAGCTCCCGCACCTTCCAAGCCTGATGAGCGACACAGTTCCAGCACAGAAAGCTTTGGGGAGCAGCATGGAAGAGATGAAGGGGGTCTGTGGCTGAGTTTAAGGATGCAGAATAGCAGTGCAAGGTCAGGAGGGGACTGCGAGCAAACAGAATGATAGAATACATCCTGGGGTGCAGGCAGAGAGGGAAGGAGCCCGCAGTGGGAGCAGGAGAGCGTCATGGGGAGCAGGGCTAGGAGCTTCCAGAGCTCACAAGTGATGGGTAGAGGCGCTCCTAGGCAGAATGAGCTTTGTCTTCCTCTGGAATTTGTGGCAGCCCACCTGCTGGCTCGGTATCCAACAGGGCACAGCAGCTGAGAAGGACCTAAGTGGATTTTTTCACTCTATCCCCATATGCGAAGCCCTTTCCAAGCCCAGAATAAAGCGTGGCTCCTGTCGTTGAATCCTGTGGCTCAGAATCCCTCCTGGTAGAATGGGGACCGTGGTGCTGGCACTGTCCCTGCTGAGCACGGCTCTCCTGTGCCCAGCCACCGCCGTGCTGCGCATCGGCGCCTTCAACATCCAGGCATTTGGGGACAGCAAGATGTCTGATGAGAGCGTGGCAGGTGTCATCATCAATGTGAGTACAGCCGGTGCTGCGTGGAGCATGTGGGGATGGGCTGTGTGCAGGGACAGAGCTCAAATACAGCCCCTGTGCTGGAGCTGCTTGGGGACACGGTGGTGGCTGGAACATTGTCCCAGTGCCAGCCACCACAGTGCCAGGCTTCCTCTCACCATCACCACTGCAGATCCTGCGCCGCTACGATGTTGTGCTGGTGCAGGAGGTGCGTGACTCTGATCTCAGCGCTGTCACCGAGCTTCTGGAGCAGCTCAACAGGTACGAGTGGGGCTGGGGCTCTGGGGCTGAAGCCGCTGGGGTTAAAATGCTGGCACTGCGCAGGGAAAATGAAGCTGCTTGAGCAATAAAAGGAAAACAAAAGAAATTCTGTTGAAAGACAGTTGGTTTTCTGGAAGAGGAATAAGAGGAAATTGTTGTAGCTTTACAGAAGGAAATGGGAAGGAGCAGCTGAGGAGCCTGCGGGCAGCTTGGAGCCTGCTGGGTGTCATGCGGTGCTTCACCCTGGGGGCACAGGGGTGCCAATGGGGCAAAACCCTTGTGAAGGCTGAGGTCACACCTGAACACAGAAGGCTGAAAGGAATTATAACTCTGGCACACTGAATCTGGAAAATGCAATGGGACGGGGGAAAACTGAGGCTGAGGATGAAGTCCACAAGGCTGGGGCTTAGCTTGACAAAATGTGACAAATCAGCTTCAAAGCAGACGGGGAGTGGTGGAGGTGGCTGTGCTCTGAGGTGCAGAGCTCTGCACAGCCAAGGGTGCCACAGGGATGGGGGTACTCCACTGGTGGGACTCAATGCTGAGCGAGGCTGTGGCAGAGATGAGTGCTCCCAAGCAGGTATGCCCGGCCCATGTCCAAACCCCTTTGGTTCCCTCCTGCATCACCACAAAGCTGGCATGGCAGCAAGGGTGACGCCAGGCCCTGCAGGCTCCAGGCTGCCAATTAATTTAGCTTAGATGCAAATGAAGATGGAGAGTATCCCTGCAGAGAAATTGTTGGCAGGGATCAGACCTGCACCCTGCTGCTGTATAGGGAGAATGGAGCTCGTGGCTGGGGATGGCGGGTGCCTCAGGGCTGCGGTGCCCATGAGGTTGGCAGAGCTAGGGTCATCCCAGGGCTGTGCCAGCACCGTGCCAGCTGTACAACTGCCCTCCATTTGCATGCCTGCAGTGTGTCCTCATCCCCATATGACTACGAGATCAGCGGGCCCCTGGGACGGGACAACTACAAGGAGATGTACCTCTTCATCTACAGGTAACGGGGTGGGCACGCTGCTGTTCCCCTTGGCGTGTTGCAGAGGGGACACAGGGGTCCCATGTCACCGGATGGAGTTCAGGACAGCAAAGCCACTACGGCAGGGCTGAGCTGAGCGAGGGGCCATGCTGGTGGGCCGTGCTGAGCCCGGGGTCACCGTCCCCTCATCCCACAGAACAGACGTCGTGTCGGTGGTGGACACCTATCAGTACGAGGATCCACAGGACATCTTCAGCCGAGAGCCGTTCATCCTCAGGGTGTCAGCACCCCACAGCAGTGAGCAGCGTGGGGCGGGGGATGGCTCCTCAGTCTGAATGAGGATGGGTGAGCAGGCTCCTGTTCCTCTCCACACAGAAGCGGAGGAGTTTGTGATGGTGCCATTGCACTCAGCCCCGCATGATGCTGTTGCTGAGATCGATGCCCTCTACGATGTCTACCTGGCTGTGGTCAACAAGTGGGGGACAGATGTGAGTGCCCCAGCAGCACCATCCCCGCCACGGCCCCGTCTCCTTCCAGGGGAGGAAGGGATGGCCACAAAGCTGGGCTCGGGGCCAGGCTCTGGGGGTGGATAGCTGAGCCCCCGCATCGCCCTTTCCGCAGAACATCATGTTCCTGGGGGACTTCAATGCTGACTGCAGCTACGTGAAGCAGAGCGACTGGGCCTCCATCCGCCTGCGCAGCAGCGACGTCTTCAAGTGGCTGATCCCAGACAGCGCCGACTCCACTGTGGGGAAGTCAGACTGTGCCTATGACAGGTGGGTGCTGCCGTGGCTCCGTGCCACAGGGCCCCACAGAGGCTTCCGTGGAAGCAGTGCCCACTGCGTGCTGTTCCCTTGCAGGATTGTGGTGTGCGGAGCCAAGCTGAAGCGGAGTATCGTGCCAAACTCAGCCGCTGTGTACAATTTCCAGCATGCTTTCCAGCTGGAGCAGGAAGAGGTGAGCAGGGATCATCAGCAGGACTCAGTGTCTGCTGTGCACGGAGCTGTTTGGGACAGCATAGCTGAGCTGCCCCAGGTGCAGCAAATACAACCTGGTACCACGAGGCTGCCAGTGTTTGGGATTAGGCAGCCTGGGCCCAGCCATGTGGCTGCTGCGCTTATGAGCCAGCACAAACGCAGGGTGAAGCAGCGTCGGCAGCCCCAGGTGGCTCAGCCATGGCTGCAGGTACAGCAGAGAAGGCATGCAGCCCTCACCTAAGGCGCACAGCTGTCCTCACAGCCCGCCAACATGAGGCTGAGCATGCTAGGAGATGCATGCAAGAACACATGAGGGGGATTTGGGGATTACTGCCCATCCCTGTGAGAAGAGAGATGTATGGGGCGTTTCTGTGGCTTTCATGGGCAGAAATGGGCACGGCAGGGGCAGAACTCCATGACTCCCAGGCTGGGGACATCCCGTCCACATCCAGCAGCCACAAAGATCCCACACAGCGATGACAGCCACCCCAAGGGCCCATCAGTACTGTGAGGGGCACAGGGCTCACACAACTCTGATGTTACACCTCCCTGCCTCCTGTCTTCCTGCAGGCCCTGGCAGTCAGCGACCATTACCCTGTCGAGGTGAAGCTGATGGCTTGAGTTCCTCCTGCTGCCACAGACAACAACCCAGATCCAGCTCCCACCAACCCCCACGAAGACGCTCTCTGCAGCCCCATCCATGAGCCCTGTATGTGGGATGCTCCTGAGCCTGCTCTGGAGAAGAGCTGTGGACAGGCCCCCATCCCATGGCTTGTGGCAGAGCCTTCCCAATCCAGCAGGAGCCAGGAAGCAAGCAGTGACTGCAGACACGCTTGGGAACGAAGCACACATCTCCCACATCATCAAATGCTTTATTGACAAACAATTAGTAGTTGGACAGGAGGAAGGATACCCAAGGACATGTAGGCTTGATCCACAGTGTTGTCAAGGCTCTCTCTGCTTGTTCCTCGGGTGAGCTGAGCCAACAGCTCTCCCTGCCCTCAGGAAGGCAGCAGTGGTGACAGGCACTCTATGGGGACTAACAGGAGGGGGTGGTTGTGGTGGCCACAGAGCAGGCAGCATCTCACCCATCACTCACACTGCAGATGGCTTCACTGTGAAAGTCTACAAATAATGCAGTGCTTCAGAGGGTCACAAAAGATCCTGGGACCGGGCCACTGCTGGCTGCTCCTCAGCTCTTCTTCTTCTTCAGCATCTCCATGTACATTGAAAGGGACTTCTGGATGGAGTCTTTCGAGACGAAGTTGACAAAGTTCTGAATGTCTTCCTCCCGGTGAGCTAGCATGTGGTCCAGCACTGCCTTCCTCATCATGGTCTTGGTGAGCTGACGGGCATGGTCTGTGGAGAGGACAGTGAGCATACAGAGCGGGCACGGTCCCCGCTGGTAGCAGCCAGCTCTCTCTCACTGTCATCATGTGCTGCTGCCTCCAAAGCACAGGCAGCATGCATTGGAGGGCTCTTTAAAAAAGCATGGGAAGGGGCAGGAAAACTCAGCTGCCTGGAACCTGACCTGGATACATTCTCATGCAATAAATTCTGATCTCTAATCCACTGTGGAAATGACTGATCTACTGGCACACATTAGAAAAAGCAGTGCAACTTCTTCCTCCCTGTGCCCTCTAGAGCCCAACCCTCACATTGTTACACGTTACTGAGATCAGGACAGCAGCAGCTGAACAAAATCATCTGTTTTTGGAAACTCATCTGCCTTGACATGTTCCCAACTCCTTCAGCCTCTAGAAAATATTCTGCACGTGCCAAACATCCCACACAAAAGCCATCAGCACTGTCCCCAAGGGTTCATCCCTGCTGCACACACTGGACTCTGCCTGCCATCCCAGCCACAGGCTGCACAATTCAGCATGGAAATGGGGATGCTGCTGGAGCATTGCTGCCTGCTGGAGCTGACTGAGGCCTTCAGCATGCATCTGGTCACGCACACCACGCAGGTGTAAATCTCTTCCATGACACTGCACATATCAGTGAATTGAGAGTGAAAATCCCACATACCCAGGACCCAGAATTACTTTAGCACCTGCCTACCATGGACATTTACAACCAGATAAACCCTTGCTGGCTCTGACTGAGTCACGAACAGCACTGCCTGCCACTTACACCTTCACTTCACATGGGAGCCCTGCACACCAGCTCCTGTCCCCCCCACACCCACACCCAATTGCTGCCCCGAGGGCAGCAGCAGCAGCAGGAGGTGCCTCCCTTACCAGGCAGAGCCAGCCACTGTGCCACAACAGCCACAGCCTTCTCCTGCAGCTTCTCCTCTGGCACCACCTCGTCCACAAGGCCGACCCGATGGGCCTCAGGCACAGAGTGCAGCAAGCCCAGCTGGAGGGAGCGTTCAGCAACTCGGTGCCCCACAACATTCACAAATGTGTCCTTAAACCTAGGAGAGATGGCAGGAAAAGCTTTTGCAGGTGCACAGCACGCACTCACAGGAAAGCATGCTCCCAGCACTGGTTTCAGTATAGATTGCATAGTCAGAACTGAGGCACTGCACCCTCCAACTGCAATTACCAAGAACTCTGTCGGGAAGGATGCAAAGCTACATCCCAGTGGCAAATTAAAGCTTATTAAAACCTTTGTGATCTCTTTTTAGGGACCTCTCTGTGATACTAGACACGAAAGACACTGGCATACCAGAAGGGAGCCACAATGCCCAGCTGGGTTTCGTTCAGGCCGATGACATATTTGGGGTTCTCCGCCATGATTCTGTAGTCACACGACAAGGCAATGAGACATCCTCCAGCTGGGCTGGATCCCTGGAAAGGAGAAGGAAGCAGCGAGTTCAGGTCAGCCCTCATGCTCCAGCTATGAGTGCTCATGCACCCTCAGCAGCCTCTCTGTTTTCTCCATGACAGGGAAGACACAGGGACAGAGCTGCCAAGGACAACACAGATGTCTCCCCAAGGCTCCAATCACCTGACTCAAAACTGCCACTAAAGATGTCTGATATGCTTGCTAGACTTTACCCTTTCATTTTTAGTGCTCTTTGTTTCTGAAAATCTAAGTAACTGCTCTGCTTCCTTTGAGTTTCACTCTTTAATTCAGAGACTCCTCCAGAGAAAACACTGCTTGGGTTGCAAAACCTGCAGAGATTTGTTATGGCACTTTCTTATGAGCCTGTGACCCTCACTGCCATCTAAACAATTTCAATTTCAACCACAATTCAGTGCCTGCTTAGCCCTCACAGGATGCCTGCGGAAAGCTGGTCAGAGACCCAGTCATCTTCAAAGACAGACAGACACAGAGCTACGAGCAAAGCAGTACTGCACTGAAAAATGAAAACAAGATGCTGACTGGATAACATATTTAGGAACACTGCAATTCAAAGTGCATTTCCCTGCTGGCACACAGCTCTAGCAGGAGGAAGACAAAGCAGACAGAAAGGAATAAGACAAGGATGCGCCCCACTGCCCAGCTTCCAAAGCACTGCTGTCCAAAGGGCGGAGGCCAATTATTTACAGTACTGCACAGCTCCCACCCAATCTCCTCCCCTCCAGCTACAAAGGCAGTGCAACAGCCAGGCAAACAAGACCAGACAACTCCCATGAGTCTCATCTGTGCAAAAGAAACACTATGCACGTGACAGGCACTCTACAGACTAGCAAGCGACTTCCTGGGGCCGAGACTGGCTCTTGCTGCACAAAACAGTGTCTGTGATATTTAGGTCTGAGCCCCCGTTAGCCAGACATGAGTGCAGTGTGAGCTCCCCATCACCCAAATGCTGCTGCATCTCAGCATCATGTGCAGCATTACCTGGAGACTGCAATGCCCCCCACTCCCAAGCATTCCCATACCCCGGTGCAGCAGACCTGCACATCCCAACACTGTATTTGCTTCAGCAGTGACAAGACTGGTTTGGGGGCTGTCCCTGCACACACGACAACATTACACAGCAAGCAGCAGAGCACACAGAGCAGCCAGGAAAGCAAATATAAAGGACTTGCATTGACTGCAGCGACTGTCACCATGTTGGAGCCGTACAGCCGGAGCCACATCTCCTGCACAGCTCTCCAGAACTCAGCATAGTGCTCTGTGCTCTTCCCACACATCTCCATGATGTCCAGGCCAGATGAGAAGACTCTGGGGATGGTCTGGAACCAAGAAAACACAAATATCACCCAGAGGCAAAGCGTCCTGCAGCACACTGCCATCCCAGGGCAGCATGTACCGAGGTGATGATCAGGCCCCGGCAGGCCCGGTCGTTCTCCAGCTTCTCCAGGCTTATGCAGAACTCAGTGAGGAAGTCCAGGCTGAGGCTGTTGACTGGAGGGCTCTTGAACTTCATCGTGGCTACACCTGAGCCATGGTAAACACAGAGGCATCAGAAACCCCACAGCAGAGCAGCACACACCACTCCTATGCCTGTTGTGCTCAGAATTCCTTCTGAGCCTTTTTGCTTTCCCACTCTACTCAGATCCTATCTTTTCTCCCCCTGGTTCTTCAGGCCTGCAGCCCTTCACCCCTCCCAGACAGGACAGCCCTGCCCAAAGGCCTTCCCAAGGCCCTGAGCCCAGGGCAGGCCCAACAGGAGGGGCCCAATGGCCAAAGGAGACCCTGGGAAACACCAAGCAGAGGGGACACGGCCCCGTGACATCTACACCTGGCTGCCAGGGCACAGAAATCCCAACAGCTGCTCCCTGGAGGACAGCCTGCTTCTTCTGGGTACACAAAGCAGGGACCCTATGGAAGCTGGGATCTGCACGTGGCACACTGCCTCACCAAGTGCCACACCTGGTGACATCTCTGTCCCCACACTCATCTCTCTGCTGGCCTTATATGGCTGAAGGCAGAACGTATGGGGTTCTGGTGGCTCTCCGTGCCCAGGGCTGCATGGTGGGGCTCAGTGGGGTGATGTGACGCTGTACCTGAACTCGTGTCCAGCTCCACCAGGATCTTGTTGTTGCTGAAGGCACGGCGCTGGGTGGAAAGGAGGCCGGGGGGCTGCCAGGCAGCTTGACTCCAAACCTGTGGGCTGCTGCGGGGAAACAGCACACCTGGGGGACAGAGGTATGAGGGCAGACAGGGAGAGAGGCACAGGGACACCATGAGCGCTATGAGGGGGCACGGGGACACCATGACACACTGTGGGGGGATACAGGGACACTGCAGTGCACAGAAGGGTGACATGGGAGGAACAGGGACATGGCACACCTTGGTGCAGTGACATGGGGACACCCGAACACGTGGTGGGGGTGATTGGGACACCCTGACCCCTACAAGGAGACATGCCACAATCCTGACACGCTGACAGCGGCCATGTGGGGACATGGAGGAACCCGACCCAGCGAGAGGGCACAAGTATACCCTATTATGTATAAAAAAGGGCCGTGGGGGGACACGGGGCGCCAGACCACCCCCCGTGGGGCAAAGGCCGTGGGGATGCTCCCGCTCGGACCGGCAGCAGGGGACATGAGAACTCAATCCCGTCGATAGCACAGCCGTGAGTGGAGCACCTGATCGAGCGATCCGACGGCCAAGGGTCACCGCTGCCGCCGCCATGTTCTCCGGGAAGGCCAAGCAGACACGGAGCGGCCCAAAGCGTCACAGCCCCGCCCTGGAGCCCCGCAGCCCCGTTCCTTGGCGCTGAAAGCCACGCCCCCAGTCTTTAAGCCACGCCCCCAGTCTTTAAGCCACGCCCCCAGCCTTAAGCCACGCCAGCGCTGGGACCACGCCCTGGTCCCCGTAGTCACGCCCCCCTGCTCTGAAGCCCCGCCCCCAGCCGACCGCGCGGCACTGAAGTTCTGCCGCCCCGTGGTGGCGGGCGTGAGTCCCAATGCTGTGCTGTGCTATGCTACTCTATGGTGCGCTGTGTCCTCCTGCACCATCACACCTGCGCCATCCTGCACTGCTCTGCACTGCCCTGGACTACATCAGCCTGCACTAAGCTGCACTGTGTTGTCCTGCACTGTCCTGTCCTGCCTTCACCATCCTGCACTACTCTGCCTCGCTTAGTGCTGCATCGTGCTCTGCCTGCTTGCTCCACCTGCTCTGCAGACCCCAAACCTCCCCCACCCTGCTGCCCTCTGGGTTCTGCCTTGCACATCTGAGCCTGGTGCGGCTACATCCCGTGGCAGCGTCCCCGTGGCGGCCCTTGCAGGCACAGCTCAGTCTTTGGGCAGCAGGACTCTGGTAGCTCCAGGGCTGCAGAACCAACCACACTGGGGCAGAATGGCCAGGGGCAGCTCCTCCAGTGGGAGCTGTGAGGCTGCACCAGCACCTCTTGTAAACTTCATCACAGTGGAGGCCATTCCAGGGAGTAGCACAGGACCTGGGGCTGCAGACAGACAGCATTCGGCAGCAGCATGGCGGGTTCAGTGCTGCCTCTCTGTCACCCTGCAGGGCAGCTTGCCCGATGCAGCACAATGGGCTGGGAACAGGGTGGTGTGGGCTGTCACTGTGGTTCATCCATGGAACTGGAGGAACTGGAATCTGCTGAAATTAGGAGAAGATTCTGCACCTTCTAAGCCTGATGAGCGGTGCAGTCCCAGCACAGAAAGCAACCAGCTTGGGGGATCAGTATGGGAGAGATGGTGAAGGCGGTCTGTGCGAACCAGGGAATGACTAACCAGTCAGTCTGATCTCAATGCCAGGAAAGGTTACAGAACAGACTATCTTGAGTAGGATCATTCAGTGTGCGTGGGACAGCTGGGGGATCAGGCTCAGCAAGCATGGGTTCCTGAAAGGCAGGTCCTGCTTCATCAATCTCATCTCTTTCAGAACAGCAGAGCTGAGCTGCCCCAGGTGCAGCAAAGACAATCTGGCACTCATGACTGGGGGGTAAGGGTGGGCAGGGAGAGGGGCATAGGGACACCATGAGCACTGTAGGGGGGGCATGGGGACACTGTGACCCACGTTGGGGGGGTGACATGAAGACACTGCAGTGCACAGAATTGGGACGTGGAGGGAACAGGGACTCGCCAACCCCAGGGTGCATTCCAACGCACATTGAGGGAATATGTGTGACAACCCTGACACTGATGGGGGCTGTGCAAAGACACGGAGGAACCCGACGCAGGGAGAGGGGACAAGAGGACCCCACAACATACCGAAAGGGGTCGTGTGGGGACATGGGGTCATAGGGCACTCTCCTGCTTGGACCAACAGCAGGGGACATGGGACGTGGGGACTCACCATCCTGCAGGGGAGCGCACCTGACAGAGTGATCCGGCGGGCGAGGGTCACCACTGCTGCCATCATCTCCCGGTGGGTCAATGGGACGCGCCGCAGCCCCGGGATCCTGACGGTGCCGTCCCACCACCTGGCGCCGGAGCCCCGAACCTTGGTGATGAATCCCCGCCCTCTGGCTCCGAAGCCACGCCCATTGCCACACAAGCCCCGCCCCTTGGCGCTGAAGCCCCGCCCCCAGGTGGCCGCGCGGTGCACACGTGCTGCCGCCCCGTGGTGGCATATAGCGAAGTGCACGGCGATGTCCTGAGCCCTCTTGTCCTGTCCTGTACCGTCCTGCACTGCACTGACTGCACCATCCTGTTTACGCCATCCCACATGCGCCATTCTGCACTTTTTCATGCTGTCCTCTACTGCTCTGGGCTGCACCAGCCTGCACTAACCTGCACTATGTTGTCCTGCTCACCATCCTGCGCTGCCCTGCTTGTTTGCCCTGTAGTTTCTCTACTGCTGCATAACCCCAAACCTCCTCCCCACCATGCTGTCCTCTGGGTTCTACCTGGGCCCAACGGGGGCACATCTGCCAGGAATGTCTCTATGGCTGCCCCTGTGGGCACAGCTCAGTCCCTGGGCAGCAGGGTTCTGGCAGCTCCAGGGCTGCAGGAACAGCCACGTTGGAGCAGGATGGCTGGGGGCAGCTCCTGGCTTCAGTGGCTGTGAGGCTGCGCCAGCACCTCCTGCAAACCTCATCACAGTGGAAACCATCTCAGGAAGCAGCACCAGAGGCTGGAACTGGAGCTGCGGGCAGACAGCATTCGGCAGCAGCATGGCGAGGTCAGTGCTGCCCCTCTGCCTGCTGCTCTCTGCCACCCTGCAGGGCAGTTTGTCTGATGCCCCAGGGCTCACGGCCCGCAGTCTCCCTCTGCTGTGGCGGCTGCGGCAGCTGGAGGAGCAGGTGGGTGCTGGGCAGCCTGGGGGGCGCAGCACAGCAGGGCCCATCCCTATGGCATCCTTCACACCACTCCATTGCAGTTTCGCCGGTTCCAGGAGGTGACGCTGAGCCATCTCCAGAGCATCGCCAGGAACTACAACATCTCCTACAATATTGACAGCCGCTTTCGGTCACTGGCAGAGCAGGCAGAGGCAGCTGACGCAGCTCGGGCTGCCCTGGGCTCTGAGCTGGCCCGCCTGGCTGCTGTCAGTCAGCAGCTGCAGCGCAGAGTAAGGAGGCTGGAAGGGCGAGCCCAGAGCCCCCGTGCTGAGCCACAAAGCCTGCGGGATGCAGTGCGCAGCCAGCAGGAGTTGCAGCATTCAGTGTCCCTTAGTACTTTCAGCTCTCAGCCCCTCAAGGTGAGGCAGCAGCAGCATCAGTGGGAGCAAAGGCAACGGATGCTGGTGGAGACTGGACCCAGTAGAATGCCCGGGGAGGACGCCGAGCCCCTTGGTGACACCAAAGCTGTCATGGCAGTGCTGTCCACTTCAGCCACTGGCCCCCAGGAGCAGCTCCCGGCCCTCCAACAGCTGGAGACAGGTGGGTGCAGGTCCCTTACCTGACCAGTGGAACGGGAGGGTGGTCCGGTCCTGGTGCTGACAGGTATCAGAGCTCTGTATGACACAGCTTTGCCTTTGGTTCCATTTTAAAATATGGGGCTCCACCCAAGTCTTGTAGTGAGGGTTGCAGGGATTGCACAGCCCACTGTGAAGCCCTAGGGACATCTGTCCTTGTAGCAGTGACTGAGTGCTGCTTTCCCTCCCCAGTGTGCAGTGTGGGCTCCATGCTGCTGTTCTCCAACAACTCAGCCAACAACGGTGCTGTGCTCCAGCCGAGGCTGCACGTGGGGCTGCGGGAGCTGTCATTGTGCACCTGGCTGCTCACCCCAGCCCCTCATCTCGGCACTGTCCTGTCCTACACCAGCGAGGCTGACGGCAGCAAGCTGGCCCTGCACGGGGTCCACCCTGGGTCTGCACGTTTTGTTATCGGGGACACAGAGTTTCGGCAGCTCTCAGTTACACCACTCCTGGATGGCAAGTGGCACCACCTCTGCCTCACCTGGTCATCCAGCTATGGCCAGTACCGTTTATATGTGGACAGGAGGCTGCTGGCTGCCGGCTCTGGCTTCCAGCAGGGCTATGAGGTTCCTGCTGGGGGCTCACTGATGCTGGGCCAGCAGCAATCCCACAGTGGGGACTCTGTGCCCTTTCTGGGCCAGCTGGCTGGCCTGGCCCTCTGGAGCAGGGCTCTGCTGCCTGGGGAGGTGGCCAGCATGGCTACTGGGCAGGGGCTGCCCCATGGGCCCCTCCTGACGCTGGCTAATGCCACCCTGCAAGGTGAGGTGCGCAGGGGGAGGTGTGCCTGCCTCCAGAACTGCCCATGATGGCTGAGGGAAAGTGCTGGTTCCTAGTGTTCATGGTGGCTTGTAGTGCCTGGGCAGTGTGAGCTGCATCCCCTGGGTGATGGGACGCAGGCAGCAGGCTGCCTCACAGCCAGGATGGTTGTGTTCCTGGGGAGCTATGGGCAGGCCGTGGGGGGGAACCAGGCAGAAGTCTGCTCCTCCACATCTCCAGCTCCTGCCCCCAAGAGCACATACAGCCTCATTATTCCTATTAAAGTGCTTTAGAGAGAGAGGAAATTGCATCTATTTTTGGTCTTGCTTTTCACTGCAGCACTCGGCGCCGCTCACAGCCCTGCTGGGTGCAGCATCCCACAGCAAGCTGTACAGAATTTGGTTTCAGGCGGGTTTTAAAGTACAGCGGCGCTCTCTGAAACCCGCACGGCTCCCTGGTGCGCTGGCTCTCCTCGCCGCGCTGCCGTGGTCACGCGGCGCAGCGCAGTGACAGCCGGCTGCCGGCCGCCAGCATCTGCCACTGAGTCACAACCGGGAAAGTTGGGGCACGGAAACGCCAGTGACCCGCGATGAGCCAAAGCCGCCAGCCCAGCCGCTCACCGCCCCGCCTGTCCGCCCTGCCCTCTAGGAGCCACAGAGCCCCGCGGGCGGTGCCGAGCCGCGGGCTGAGAGTGGCCCCGCAGGGCGCGGGGACTACAACTCCCATGGTGCCCCGGGGCACGATCGCCGCGCCGGACGCCGTAGTGCTCACGTGACGCCGGCAGGTGTCACATGACCGGCCGGTGAGGCAGGAACCGCCGGAGTCGCAGCCGCTCCGCATGGCCAACGTCGCCAAGAAGGTGTCGTGGTCCGGTCGCGACCCCCGCGACGACGAGGACGAGCGTGCGGGGGAGACAACCCCGCTGCTCAACGGAACCGGGCCCGGCGCGGCGGGCGGCGCCCGGCAGGTGATGCGGGGTGGGCCCCGGGCACGGGGTGCGTGGCTCCCGGCTGCTGAGAACGCCCTTTTAATTCCTGCTTCCAGTGTCGTTCTGTGGGAGAGCCCGATCCTTATCAGTCTGCTGCCGTGCGGGTCTGGCGGCTGGACGTGATGGTGTATGTATGGAGGCAAAGAGAGTCCGGGGTGGGCGGTGTTTTTAGCGCAGAAAGGCCCGTTCCTTCCTTGCAAATCGCTTTGGAGAAGTTAATCTCATCCTAAAGTAAGCTTCTGTGCGATGCTCGGAGGTTTGGGGCTGTGATTTGGGCCAGGCTGAGTCCATGGAACGCTGCTGTGTGCGTGCTGGGTGGGAGAGGGGCTGCCTGAGCACAGAGCTGGTGAATTTCCTATGGAAAGTTTGTGGGGAGCCTTCAGCATAGTTAGGAAGGCAGGCTTTGGCAGCCGTTAGCCTGGTTGTGTTGTCTGGCATGGTTCTGTGCCACCCTGCTCCTGGGTAGATCAGAACAGCGGGCTTGTTAGATTAATTAGAGAAAAATTCAGGGTTTGTTAGGCTGCAGGTTTCTGGTGTGGCTGGGCAGGATGGGGGCACAGCTGGCTGGCTGGAATCGACTGCGGTCCTGCAGCTGTTCTGATCTGGAAGGAGAAATAAGGTCAGTACAGCACCTCTGGGTGTATCTACAGCATGCTGCCTTTACAAATCACGTGGTGAGAACTGCAGGTCTGAGGCATGGTAAGGGAAGGATTAATCAGATCTCTTGGCTGGGGGTCAATTAGAAAAAGGGTTTCTGTGAGTAGCTTTGAAGAAACAGCAGGGACAGCGGGTGGGGTGAGACCTGGCCCTGCTGGTCTGTGTTTATTGCCACTGTGTTTATTCCCTGATGGTCCAGCTGGTGACAGAGCACTGTGTGCTGTTTCCCTTAGCAGAGCACGGCAGTGAGTGCTGTACTGTAGCTCTCAGCATGGGGTGGGAATGATGGGCAGCAGGGTGAGCGCTGACCTGGCAGCACAGGTCAGCACAGCTGCTTCTCTCCACGGGTGGTCCTGTGACCTTAATGCCAAACAGCTCAGTAGGGCCCTTTGTGGCTCTGTGCTGCTACAAGCACAGCCATATGGGTACGTGAGGAGGAGAGCAGGTCTCTGGCAATGTCCTCATACCCCCATAACTGTCTATGGCCAGGTTACACCAATAGGAACCAGCTGGATGTGATGACAGCATGGTACCAGGCAGGGGGTACTGAGAAGTGGGGACGGGATGGCTTTGGCAGAGGGTGGAGCTGTTTTTGTGATGGGAGACTTCGTTTTGGGTCATGATACTACAACAGAAATGGCACCCAATTGGGGTTTCTTCCCCTTGCATGTTCTTTTAATGGAAATGAAAGTGATTTTAAAATCACGAAAGGAAATACGGGTCTGTAGTTCCCCAGCTAACTTCTGCGAGCGACTGAGAGCTGGTGGGTGGGAGGTGAGTGCCCAGTGCGTGTGTCCATGGTGACAGAGGTGAGCTGCAGGAATGTGCTTGAGCTCTCTGTTTTGGGGTTTGCTGGCTCAGGGGAGCTGAGCACAGCACCAGAGCTGGGTCAGCCTTCATCCCATCAGGACCTGGCTGTGCTGCTGTGCAAGGTGCCGTCTGCACATCTGAGCATCACGTGCCCCAAGGCGTGGGTTGCCCTCCTCCCATGTTTTCACGTTGCATGTAACAAATTAATTCTCAAACTGAGAAGTGGGTGGACGACTTCAGTAAGAGTGGCCAATTCCCATCATTAGCTTGAGGTGTGTTTTGTTTTTTTTTTTAACTAATATTTTTTTTGCTACCCCTTGAGGATGCATTCTGTATGTGTACTACAGTGCCTTGTCTTTGAGACCTGTGCGGTGCTTATGCTCCTGAGGGTGCCAGGGAAGGGGAGGGTGGGCAGGGGGTTGTCAGGCTATGGGATTGCTCATATTCCCCCATGTACCACAGTGAGCTGTCCGGTGGCATGACAGGAGTTATCTTTTCCCACCACTGAGCAGAGCCAGGAGGGCACTGGGGGCTGAAAGCCCTCTTCCTTCCTCTTGCTTATACAGTGCAGGCTGCTGGTGTGGTTTGTGCACAGTGCTTTATCTCACTGATAACAAAACCACGAGCATTCAGAGCTTGTTAGTGAGGAGCAGGGTGGTGATAGAGAACTGCTCATGGAGGGTACTCTGTGTCTCTGGGGGGTGGTTGTGGATGCAGTGCTGTCCTGCAGGTTTGGCCTTGCTGGCTGCCCTGCAGATGAGTTACGGAGCAAAAGCTCCATTTGTGGTTCTTCAGAGTCCAGTTAGCAAGGCACTAAAAGGCCACTGTGTACACAGGCGGTGTTTGCTTTGTGGCTGTTCTAGATAGCCTTGTTTGAAGTTGTTCCTCTATTCACAAACCAGTGTCGTGTTGTGACCGCTCTCTGAGACACATCACTGCTGCGATGGGCTTTCTCTAAGCAGTCGTTCCCTTGCTGCAATTCTACTGCTTCCTGACCTATGGATATAGGGCTTTGAGGAATGTGTGGCCTTATCTCCTCTGTAACCCCTCATCAGGTCACTGGGACAGCACGAAGATCTCCCTGAGCCAACAGGACTGCTGAGGGCTGGGTGACATCACCTTCCTCTGCCGGTGGGAAGGTCCCAGGTGTCCCCATCTGGGATGGGAGAGCTGATGATCTGTCTGCATCCTCTGGGTTCTGACAACATGTGTGCTGTTGTAGAGGCACTGCAGTCACACCAACATCATATGTGCCTGGGAACAGCGGGCTGTGCTTGGAAAGCATCCAGGCTGGGGTCATGCTGCCTGAGCTGCACATCTCTGAGCCGTGCACAGATAATCCTCTGTCTGCGTCTGTTGTCCCATTTCCCCTGTTCCTCCTGTGGAAAATGGGTGCTGATGGAAAAAATCCTTTTGCTGTTCTTCCAGCATGTGATCCTTGTGCTGGCAGGATGGAGCCAGCTGTGCTCTAAATGTGCGCAGCCTGTCTGAGTGCTGCCTGCTGCCAGGGTTCAGGATGAGCTGGGCAGGGATTCTGTTATACAAGCAAGATGTTTTCAAAAGTAACACGGAGTCCAGCTTCAGGTCCGACTGCAATTCCTTTTCTTTCCTGTTTGTGTCCCAGTGCTCTATAATCACTTGGGGGAGCAGGCTGGTGCCTGCAAAAGCTCCCCCTGCTCCCATGTGTCCCTGCATGGTTAACAGCATTGGTCTGCCTGCCTCCTAGGAGTTTTACTGGTGCTGAGCTGGAGGGTTTGGGAAGTGGGGGCGAAGCCCATCCACAGGTCAGGGAGTAAATGAGAGTGTGGAGCAGATGGGGAAAAGGGAAAATAGGTCAGGCTGCAAACACAAAGGGTTGTTCTTCATTGCAGTGATGTGCGTGGCTCCCGCTGCTCTGGCCTGCGCGTTCCAGGCAGGATCTGTGGGGATTAAAGCAGGAGGGGCTCTAGCTGGGATCTGCAGCTTGCAGGCCCCTGCAGAGAGGGGCTGCCCTGCTGGGACCTTCCTATTGCTCTTCAGTGCTCCTTTATTCTCTGGTCCTTCAGCTGTTTGGGAGTAGGGCTATCAGAGGGGTGAGAGGCTGCAGAGGGGAAGATGTGGATGTTGAGAAATGGTGTTTGGGCTGTTCTTAGTGGCAGTGCTGCTCTCACGCCCTTGTATATCCCCATGTTTCATAACACCAGCGGGTGAGGGCAGCTCTCTTGCTGCTGCTGGGGCTCCGTGTGCACTGCTGGGCTGGTTCAGCCTGAGCCCAAGCCTGTCTTGGCTCAGAAAAATCCCCAGACTCCTGTGTTGTGCAATTGTGCTGCTTGTAACAAGCCTGAGGGCTCACCAGAGAATGGAGAACCTTCCCAGCACTGTCCTGGGCGCTGCTGAGCAGTGCTGGTGTCCCTGCTTGTGCACACAGTGCTGGCAGCCAGCCTAGGCGCTGTGCTGTGCCACTGAGGGTTTTGAGGGAAGTGAACGTGCTGGTGTGCTCATCTCCCTGGCTGGGAACCCTCTTGCAGAGCAGGTGGAGGAACAAAAAGTGCCATTGGCCATCCCTTATTGCTGCCTGGCTGAGGAGTAGCCCTGACTGCTTGGGGGCTGGTCTGTCCCCCTTTCCAACACCTCACACAGTTCCTGGACAGCACTGGAGCTTGGCAGGGAGGCACAAGGGGTGGACAAACACAAGCTCTGGCCTTCCATGGGGATTCCATGCATGAAAGCACTTTGGGGAGCAGGACCCAGCCTGGGCCTGAGGGTGTGCTGTGTGCAGCTGGCACCAGCTGGGCCATCTGCTGGTGGTGCATTCAGGAACTGACTTTGTTCTCTCTTCTCTTTGTAGTTCACTCCTTCCTCCTTTCTGCGCCCTGGACAGCTGAGCAATGTGGATCTCAATGAGGACATCCGTGAGCTGGTGAGTGGCACTGAGAGGGGATGTGACTGAGTTTCCTTACTGTGAAATAACCCATGGGGATGCTCCCAGGGCAGCAGGGTTAGCCATGGGACACCGTGAGTGCTGCTCTTTCTCCCCCATCCTGCTTGTCACATGAAGGTTCCTGCATGGCCATCCTTGGGTCTTGAGTGCTGCAGCTATTGAAAGGTATTTCTGTTGCTGGTTCCAGCTGGAATACTTATGACTGGGTTGCTGTAGCATATCTTAATGCAGTGCTTTGGAGGAAAGACTGGGCCAGTTCTGGATGTAGCTGTAATGCAGGACTGGAAGAAGGGCAGTGATGCCATTGGGACCCCTCCTGCAGCCCCAGTGAATGCCTTAAATCAGAGCTGGGAGAAGCTTGCGTGATCAAAGGCATTTATGAAACAGAATTTAGTTTCTACTCAAAAGCACAGATCGGCTTGAAATAGCTCCTTGCTTTAAGCCAAAGGAATTTCCTGCTGCGGTGAAATGTTGCCCTCCACTGGGAGCACAGAGCTGCTGTGATTTATTAAAATAGCAGTTTGGTGCAGGCTCTGCAGAACCTTTGCCTGCCTGGTCCCAGCTCTGCTGTACCTGTGGCTGCCCATGGGACACATCCTGCTTGGGGACGGTCCTGGAGGGCCGGGGTGCACACACAGAGGGCTATTTGATCTGACTTAAATCTGCACACACTGAGCAGTGGGAAACTGCCCTGGGCACTAAGACTGCTCTCTCTCTGGTCCTTCCTATGCTTCCTGGGTGCTCATGCAGTAAAACCAGCACCAAGCCAGCGTTATGGCGTGAGTACTTCTGTGTCAGTTGCTGGTTGCCCTCAGGGAGGCAGGCAGGGACTCTGCCAACCTCTGTGTCTTGACCCACAGGAGACAGAGCTCCCCCGACCGCATCCCAACGAGATCCCCCACAATGAGAAGCTCCTGTCGCTCAAGTACGAGGTATGTGCATCCCTGCTTCTTCCTCAGCTCTGCTGCTGCCAGCTGCCCTCTCTGAGGCACTGGTGAGGGATGGCTCTTGAGTGAAGTCTCAGATTGGCCCTCCCCTGGCATAGGGGTCTTTCCCAGCATTAGACACTAACAGCATCTCTCTTCTCTGAGCTAGAGCCTGGACTATGACAACAGTGAAAACCAGCTGTTCCTGGAAGAGGAAAGGAGGATAAACCATGCGGTGAGCCCTGCCATGACCTGGTTATCCATTGTCCCTGCACACTGACACCATTCAACCATTGCTCCCTGTGTGCCAGGGGAATGCGGTGCTCAGCAGCAGTGCTTGAGCTGTGTGGTTTGATGGGTGTCCACCAGTTTGCAATGGGCAGGGGGACCAGCTCTGCAGGAGCCCAGTGTGGCACAGGGGAGGGATGAGGAGCTCGCCTGGGTGCTGTGGTGATATTGCTGGGCAGGGTGGAACACCTGCAGTGGGGAAGGCCCTATCCTGGGGGCTTTGGGAGCTAGTACTGCAGCAAGGTAGAGCAGGAGAGTGTGTTAAGAGGCTTGATGGAGGCAGGCGAGCTGGGAAAGCTTGTCTTCTAGCCAAAGATCCCTCAGAGGCACAACAGCACTGGGGGTTGCCTTGAAATAGTCAGGCTTTACAGTCCTATGCCAAGCAGAGGATAAAGAAGGTTGGGACTTGACTGGGAAGGTGGCCAGGTGGGCCGGAGCCCATCTTGATGCACACTAGGGGCTGTGGATGCAGGGTTGGGCAGCAGTGGGTTCTGATGGCTGTCTGTTTGTCTGTCAGGCCTTCCGGACCGTGGAAATCAAGCGCTGGGTCATCTGTGCCATGATTGGCATCCTCACCGGCCTCGTTGCCTGCTTCATCGACATCGTGGTGGAGAACCTGGCTGGGCTGAAGTACCGTGTGGTGAAGGACAGTATCCTTGCATGGAGCTGAGGCCTCCAGCCAGGCAGCATCTGTGTTCTCTGCTCCCGGTGGCAACAAGAAGGATGTTGGAGGAGAGGGCTTCTGGGCTTGGTGCACAGGTCCTGCTGCTCTCAGCACTGCTCTGAGGTGCTGCCTGCATCCAAGTGCTCCCATCGATGCACTCTGCACACCACAGCCTCAGGAGCCCCATGGTGATGCTCTGTGATGGTGGGAGGGATATTCCTGAGTTGATAGCAGCCTTTCCTTGATCCTTCTCCACAGACATCGACAAGTTCACAGAGAAAGGGGGCCTGTCTTTCTCTCTGTTACTCTGGGCCACTCTGAATGCCAGTGTGGTGATGGTGGGCTCTGTTATCGTTGCTTTTATAGAGGTGAGGGTTTGGAGGCTGCTTGTGAGGAGGTACTCCTGTAACATCCATCAGATGTGTTCCTGCTGAACTGGCCCTCTGAAGCCCAACGCCTTGGTGTTGGCTGGAAACATCTGTGCTGTAAGGTTTCTCCTTAGGTGGCAGGCTGTCAGGATGTGCTGCCTTCATTTGCAGCCCCAGCAGCCTGGGGCAGGGGAGGTGGCAGAAGGACATGCTTCAGCCTTGGATGTGGGTGCAGCTTTTACAAACTATGTCAGTTCATGCAAGCCCTGAACTGGGCTCAGCCTCTTTGCTTTGCATGTTTGTGAGTAGGCAGGTTAGGTGCTCTAAAACACACTCAAGAGGAAAAGTCAGAAACTGGCAGCTGACTGGTGATGTCTGCAGGGCAAGTTGTGGCTGAGAGGGGGCAACAACCACCTGCAGGTCAGCAGCAGTCTCCTTGTTGCTTTGCCCTTGCTCTCTGGCAAAGTTTTCCCTGGCCACCAAGTGTGATCTTTCTGCAGGGAACAATCTTATGCTCCCCTAGAACATGCTAACTGCATCTGTTTGCCCTTTGGGGTGGTGTGTCTGTGGGGGCACAGCAGGTGCCTCTCAAGAGCTTGTAAATAAGTTCCGAGCCTCCCCAAGATATGCTTGGCATAGCCTGTGCTTAGGCCAGGGTAAGGTGGCAGTGTGTCCCCGAGCTCCATCCTGTATATGATAGGTGCTGACACCTTCCTGTTCCTCACAGCCCGTCGCTGCTGGCAGTGGCATTCCCCAGATTAAATGCTACCTCAATGGCGTGAAGATCCCACACGTTGTCCGCCTCAAGGTAAGAAGTGGGAGCTCACAGGATGAGTGCCTACTGCATGGGCCGGGCTGGAGCAAACGTGCTTCATTCCTGTACCGTGGGGCATTCCCTCTGTGTTTGTGGCAGAGATGGAGCTGGGCTCACTGTAGCAGCCTGGGGTGCTCCTGTCAGCCTCGTGATGTGCTGTGCCTCTTGCTCTGTCTTGCAGACCCTGGTGATCAAAGTCTGCGGGGTCATCCTCTCGGTGGTCGGCGGCCTGGCTGTTGGGAAGGTGATGTGCATAAAGCTCTCTGTTGTGTTCCTGGCCTGTTGTTATCTGCTGCTGGCATGTTTGCCACAGCTCAGCACCAACCCTGCGGTGACTTCCCGGTTTCATTCCCTGCCGGTCTGGTGTGTGGCTTAGCTGAGGGCAGGAGAGCAGCAGCCTGTGTCTGCCTGTGTTTGTCACCATGAATGTCAGTTGGGGGAGCACAGGTGCCACGCTTGGACTTGGCTGACTTGCTGGGGCTGAAGGCAAGGAAGGCAGTCTTTGTAAGCTCCTGTCTGCTCTGCCAGAGGGAGTGCTGGTGGGAACAGGAGCCATGTGCTAGAATGAGGATCTGGGGCTGGGGGAGAAATTGCAAGGTCTCTATTGATAAATCCTCTATCACTATACCTGCAGAGACAGAGCTGGTACAAGTATAGCATCCAGCTTCTTTAGGGCCATTACCCAGGGATCAGCATCCAACCTTCCCCAGTTTTCCTTAGCTGTAGTGGTTCTTCCTTCCGTGGTCTGACTCCACTCTCCTGCCTACAGGAAGGACCAATGATTCACTCTGGATCTGTGATTGCTGCTGGCATTTCCCAGGGAAGATCCACATCTTTGAAGAGAGACTTCAAGGTTGGTGCTCAGGGCAAGGAGTTCTGCTATAGGCTGAGCACAGAGTACAGTGCCTGGCTGGCCTTCCTGGTGTCAGAACCCAGCCAAGTAGTGGGCTGGTGCAGCTCCGACTCCTCTGGGGAAGGTGCCATAGAGGAGGGAGCTGTGGACTCCATTTGGTGCCACCTGAATTCCCTCCTGTTGCTGCTTGTGGTACCCAAAACAGCTCCGTGGGGTTCTGCTGGTGGCAAGGGGTTGTCACTGTGTCTCCTCTGATCTCATGCCTTTGGCCATGCCTGAACCTGCCTTCACTTTTGGTATTTCAGATCTTTGAGTACTTCCGCAGAGACACAGAAAAAAGGGACTTTGTCTCAGCTGGAGCTGCTGCCGGCGTCTCTGCGGCGTTTGGTGCCCCTGTGGGTATGTGTGTCAGCTCTGATGCTGAGCAGTGCTGCGTGCATCTCTCAGGGGGCTGCTCTTGCCTGCAGGGATCTGCACGGGGCACTGCAGGAGCCTGGGCTGGGACGGCCCCTCATTTACTTCCAGGCTCAGGTTCTTGCTTGGAAGCCCAGAGGTTGGGTATTGCATGGTGGGAATCTATAAGCTACTCAGTCTGGTGTGCTGCCAACCTCTGCCAGTTCCAGGGTTGAGAAGGGGAACTGTGTCTGCTCTGTTGTTATGCCATGAGCCTTCCTGAGAAATGCCCACCACTCCTCCATGCTGTCCTGCCCTGCCATGCAGGTCCTGGGAAGAGAGGAGGTGGTTACCTGTCTCTGATCCTAAATGTTGTTTCCTGGGATGGAGGAGAGGCAGTGAAGAGGCTTTGCTACAAACAGTACATCAAGTGTGTTGGGCTTGGTTGGTCCCTTTGCTTGATTCCGGGAGCTGTAGGACACGTGAGCTGGGATGGATTTGGCTGCCTTGGCTGGTGCTGAGAGGTGAGAGTCTGTGGCACGTGCCTGTTGTGAGGATGTTTGTGTCTTGCACTTGCAGGGGGTGTCCTCTTCAGCTTAGAGGAAGGAGCTTCCTTCTGGAACCAGTTCCTGACATGGAGAATTGTAAGTGCTGCAAAGCAGAAGCAGTAAATTAAGACAGACTTAATCCAGTTAACGCAGGCTGCAATGGCACTGAGGCATCATCTTTTCTCCTGTGCCCTGAGGCTCCGTATCCTACAGCTGTGTGCCTCCTTTCATCCTTCCCTTGGGCAGCTGTGTAATGCATTGCAGAGGTCGTGGCATCCCAAATTCCCTTTTAGCTCCCAGGGGCTAAATTTGAGTCTGTCTGAGTGAGGTCTCATTTCCTGAAGCTGCCAACTCCTTTTCCAAGGGAGCTGCCACAGGGCAGAGGAGAGTTGAGGAGTAGTGAGTCTGTGGTTGGTGTAGCCTGCCCAGAGCGTGTCCATGGGGAATGTGACACTTGTCCCCAGCACATCCTGGGTATCAAGTCCATGGGGGATATTTGGGGATAGTGTGGATGGAGCTGGGCTGGCTCTGTCTAGCAGTAATTATGTGCTGCATCTCTTTCTAGTTCTTTGCCTCCATGATCTCCACGTTCACTCTGAACTCTGTCCTGAGTGTTTACCACGGCAATGCTTGGGATCTGTCCAGCCCTGGGCTCATCAATTTTGGCAGGTTTGATAGCGAGGTATGCCACAGATTCTTCTGCCGGGGAAGTTAGAGGCACTCAGGGGTTCTGGGACTTCAGTCTCTCTTAAAATGTTGCCTGGGGCAGGCTCTGGGGTCTGGCTGGATCCCAGCTTCACCAGCATGAGTAGAAGGTGTTCCTGCAGCCCCTGCTGGGTCTAGATGCTAAGGAGCATTCAGGGCACATCCTGGGGCTGCTCCAGGAGCTCATGCTGCCACAGACAGACAGTGACTGGCAGTCAAATGTCCAGAAGATCTGAAACCCGTCTCTTGTTTGCAGAAAATGGGATACACGATCCAGGAAATTCCTATCTTCATCTTTATGGGAGTAGTTGGTAAGGGAATTCTGCTCTTTCGATCCAATTAGTATGAACAATTGCCTCTGTTCTGTCTGGGCCTAAAAAGCTTCAGGATCTACTTTCCTGGGGGGAGTGGAAAATCCATTAACTCAAGAGCAGAGGCTGTTTGTGGAATTTATGGGGGTGAGAGCAGGATCCTGGGCCAGCCCTCACCCTTGTAACAAAGGAGAGAACATGTAATCTGTATCCTGCAAAATCCTCTGTGGGGTTGGGGTGTTGCAGTCATGGACAGCCCTGTGCTGCCACGTGCCCTGGGGCAGCCAGTCATGCTGAGTGTGTCATCGTTGTCTCTCTGAACTTCCCCTTTTCTCTTGGGTCTTGTGTGGCTGTAGGAGAACCTGAGACTTGCATGCTGACTTTTCCCTCCTTTCCACTCGCAGGTGGGATCCTGGGGGCTCTGTTCAATGCCCTGAATTATTGGTTAACGATGTTCCGGATCAGGTAAGAGCTTGTGGGTAGCCAAAATAATTCAAGTGGGTTGGCTGACATCTTCTGTGCTTCCTGGTTGTGATGTTCCCAGCCAAAGCCAGGCTGTAACCTCATGCATAGCGACAGCAGCCCCTGAAAGCTGACAGATAAAGGTGCCATGTGCCTCTTGCTGCCTGCACCCAAGGCTTTGACCCACATCATCCCTCCTTTGCTATGATCCTGCTAAGTATTTATTCTTAGTGACTTGGCTGCTCAAACAAGTGCAAGTACTGTGCAAGACATGATTGCAGCATGAGAGCAATGAGAGAAAGATTGCTGCTGAGCCTATCAGAACCCACTCTGGCACAGCCATACTTGCCACCAGCATTTCAAACCCCAGAACCAGCCTTGGGATGTCAGAGAGGGGTGGCCTGTGGCATCAGCAGAGCTGGTGAAGGGTCTGCAGCATCTCCCAGGGCATCACTCCTCCTGGGGTGAAGCTTACGGGCTTGGCTCTCTGCTGCCCTCCCTCTCCTGGCACAGCCTTCCATTTTCTGCAGCCTGTAAGGCTTGCTGCATCTCACCTCTGGCAGCCTTGGGTGCTGCTGTGGCAGAGCTGAGCTCACTGCTCTGCTCCCTTTCAGGTACATCCACAGGCCTTGCCTCCAGGTGATTGAGGCCATGCTGGTTGCGGCGGTGACGGCGGCTGTGGGCTTCGTCATGATTTACTGCTCTCGAGACTGCCAGCCCATCCAGGGGAGCTCAGTGGCCTATCCTCTGCAGGTAGGAGATGCTGGTGAGCTGCACCTGAGGTGAGGGATACCCTGAGGCTGAGCAGGGGAGTGAGACTCTGCTGGAGCTTGTGGCCCTGGGCCTTGCTGGTTCCCCTGCAGCCACTGCCCTCTGCTCTGTGTGGCGCTGGAGACCTTGAGTTTGCTCTGGACTCCTTGCCTTAACATCCATCTCAGAGATGTGAACCCACCTGGGCTGTGGTGTTGCTTTGCACAGGTCTCTGTCACCAGCAACACAGTAGCAGGAGGGAAGTGCAGTGGCATTGGTGTGCTTGCTGTGTGCAATCCCCCCCAGCTCTGCACCAACTGGAGAACGGCCGCTTGCCCTGCTGTGGGGCAGCCCATAGTTGACAATCCAAACTCTTTCTTTCCTTCCCTTCCAGCTTTTCTGTGCTGACGGAGAGTACAACTCCATGGCAACTGCCTTCTTCAACACACCTGAGAAGAGTGTTGTCAACCTCTTCCATGACCCTCCAGGTCTGTGTACCAAATGAATGCTTCCTTGAAGAGCAGTGCAGGACAGAATGTGTGCACAGTGGCTGACCTGTTCCCTTGTTGCCTGTGGGATGGGGTGGGGTATGATTAGTGTGGCTTAAAGAGGGCACGGTGAGGTCCAGAAAAGCACTGTGTGGGGGCTGTAGGCAGTGGCTGCTGTGGCTACCAGCTCCTGAGTACCCCTGCAGTGCTGTAAACAGGAGGTGCTGGTGTTCCTCTGCTGTGGCCATGCACCCATCAGGGCAGATCTGCTCTGAGCCTTGTGCTGGCTGCAGGGCACAGTGCTGTGCTGGGTATAACAGTGGTCTGGTTTTTCTACCAGCAAGCAAATTCTGATCTTAACAACAAAGCTGCTCCTTTCCCTGCTACCCAAGGAGATGTCAGCTCCTTTGCTGCAGCAGAGGGAGTGAGGGATGGGTGCTGTGTTTGGAGGCACCATAAGCTCAGCCAAAGGGCTCTGCCCTCAGGGCTGCCTGTGAACAAGGAACCAGTTTTGTCTGTTTGCAAGCTGTCATTCTGATCTGTGTGGGAGCGTGACTGACCCTTGCTTGCTCTCTGAAGTCTGACTGGTTTCTTACTTAGCTGGGCTTCTTGCCCCTGAATGACTTTACCTTCTGGGTAGGTTGTGGAGGTGGATTTTGGAGTTTGGATCTGTGTGAGAAATGAAATCTGGCTTTTAGACTTCAGCTCTTATTTCCTTTGGACCCCGTGTAATGCTGAAGTGTTCTCTGCCCCCTGAGGCTGCTGCTTTGATCTCAAAGCTGTTCTGGGACCAGTTCACCAGTGCCTCTGCCCACCAGACCTTGTCCTCCAGTGCTGATGGTCCCTCAGGGCTTTGCAAAGTTTGTCACACTGCCCTGCAGGAGGGGCTACTGGCTGTTCTCCCATGGCTGTAGTGCTGTTCAGGCTGTGGGACTGGCACTGATTCCCTGTTCTCTTCCCACCCCAGGTTCCTACAACCCCATGACACTGGGCATGTTCACCCTGATGTATTTCTTCCTGGCTTGCTGGACGTATGGCCTCACGGTGTCTGCAGGGGTCTTCATCCCTTCCCTGCTGATCGGTGCTGCCTGGGGGCGGCTGTTTGGCATCTCCCTGTCCTACCTGACCAAGGGCTCGGTGAGCACTGGATGAGAAGGAGCAGTGCAGCTTCTCGCTCACCTCCTTTGCTGCTGACCTGGCTGTGCACGCAGGCAGTGGGCATGGAGCTGGCTGAGAGCCTGGCACAGTGGTCTGGAGAAATGTGGGGTGGGTTGACTCCTCACTTGATGTTCTCCTGAGCAACATCTGGGTTTTTCCCTGGCCCTGACAGAGCCCTGCTGACATACGGGCTGTGCAGGCAGCTTCTGGCATGTTTTGCTCCTTCAGAAGTGGGGTTTGGGGCCGGGGCACTGCCTGTTATCTCTGTGTGCCCTGGAGCTAGTGGCTCACTCAGTCTCTTCTCTCTCCTGTGCTCAGATCTGGGCTGACCCTGGGAAGTATGCCCTGATGGGAGCTGCTGCACAGCTGGGTGAGTCACTGAGTTGCCCCCCTTGGGGGTTCATGGCCACATTCAACTTGTGTCATAGTGAAGGTGGTGTGGGGAAAAAATGCTCTCTGCTTCTCTGATGAAGATTTTCCCCTAGTTGGAGTACAGCCTGTACTGTCAGGTTAAAACCCAACCTCACAACACTACCAAGTGCTGGCAGCACTGTGGTGGAAATGAGGGCTGGGCTTATCCAGGGCAGATCCTGGGGCTGGAGGTGCCTGGGAGCTCTGGCCTCCCCTAACCTGCCCCAGAGCCCTGTCACTGTGTGGTTTGCTGTCACTTGGTGACTGGCTCCTGCCTGCAAAGCCAGCAGAGGGGAGCAGCGTCCCTTGGTGGGTTGGATGTGGTGCCTTTGTGAGAGTCCTGGGTTGCTGTGCAGAAACTGAAGGGTCTTGGGCGCTCTCCCCTGAGCCCCTGATCCCCTCGGGTGCTTCTTGCAGGTGGGATAGTGCGGATGACGCTGAGTCTCACTGTCATCATGATGGAAGCAACAGGCAACGTCACCTATGGATTCCCCATCATGCTGGTGCTGATGACAGCAAAGATTGTGGGAGATTACTTTGTGGAGGTGAGGACTGGATGCATTCACTGTGAGCCTGGGATGGGGTGGGAGGCTGTGGGTGAGAATCTGGAGTACTGCAGAGCCAGGGGAAGCTGTAGGTGAGGACTGGGGCTGCTGCAGAGCCTTGGGAGGAGACCCTGGTATCTGATGCAGAGAGGAGCTGCTGCCTGGCTGTACTCCCTTGGCGTATCTCCTGATGGCATGACTCTCCTTGCAGGGGCTCTACGACATGCACATCCAGCTGCAGAGCGTGCCCTTCCTGCACTGGGAGGCTCCTGTGACGTCCCATTCACTCACAGCCAGGTAGGTGGACTGAGGGTCTGACACCTCTGGGGACAGCCCTGGGGTCATGCTGCTGTCAGCTCAGCCCCTTCCCCAGCAGGGTGATGTCTGTTCCCATGCCTCCCACGCTGTGGGGGCAGAGGACTGAGAGCTGTGCACTTTGGGGTGGATTTGGGGTGTGCTGCCATCTGGCTGTTTCACACCGACCCTTCTTTGCAGGGAAGTGATGAGCACGCCCGTCACCTGCCTGCGGAGGATCGAGCGGGTGGGCACCGTTGTGGACATCCTCAGTGACACCTCCTCCAACCACAACGGCTTCCCAGTGGTGGAGAGCAACCCCAACACCACACAGGTGGGCTTGGGAATGCCTGGGGGGTTGTCTGTGCAAGAGATGGCTGTGGTGGTGGCACGTTGCTGCCCCAACCAGCCCTGCCTCATGCTGGGTGCTCTGTTGCAGGTGGCTGGGCTGCGGGGTTTGATCCTGCGCTCCCAGCTCATTGTCCTGCTGAAGCACAAGGTGAGTACACAGCAACCATCCCAGGGATCAGGAAGCTGAGTGCTCCCCTCCAGAAGATCTGCCTACCCATGCTTCTGGCCTCTTCCCTCCCTGCCTGTGTGGGTGCCCTGGGGCTGTGCGGCTGAGTGCTTCAGTGAGCAGGGTGGTCCCTGAGGGCTCTCATTCCTCCCCAGGTTTTTGTGGAAAGGGCCAACCTGAGCCTGGTGCAGCGGCGACTGAAGCTGAAGGATTTCCGGGACGCCTATCCCCGCTTCCCCCCCATCCAGTCCATCCACGTCTCCCAGGATGAGCGCGAGTGCATGATTGATCTGAGCGAGTTCATGAACCCCTCGCCCTACACTGTGCCGCAGGTAATGACTGTGGGCTGCTGCCCCTGTGGAGCCCACCACCAGCTGGGGGCACACCATGACTGCCACGGCCCCGCTCTGCCTTGCAGGAGGCGTCTCTGCCGCGGGTGTTCAAACTTTTCCGAGCCCTGGGCCTCCGGCATTTGGTGGTTGTGAATAATCACAATGAGGTGAGGCCCTGGGGCAGCTCATGGGGATACTGCTGTTGTCCCCACATTCTGTTTGTTAGTGCGGGGCTTAATTCTGTCCTTTCCCTGGCAGGTGGTGGGCATGGTCACCCGCAAAGACCTCGCCAGGTACCGCCTGGGGAAGGAGGGACTGGAGGAGCTGTCGCTGGCACAAACGTGACGTGGGGCAGCACGACCCAGCAGAGTTGTGCCCTGGTCCCCGGCCCCTCTGAGACCAGGACCCTATTTTGGTGGAGCAGGGAGAGGACAGGGTTGGCTTGTGGAGGCATCACGGTGCCTGGAGCACCGACCCAGCCACACTGCCCTGGCTCTCCGTGTGTTGCTGCCTTCTCCAGTCTGCTGGCTCCCCTTCTCCTCTTCCTCACTACTTCCTCTGCTTCCCTGAGGGATCAAAATACACGGTTAGCTCTGTTAGCTCCTTGCATAGGTTCGTCACGGGTTGGGTGAAGGCAGGAGTGGGCCCAGGGGAGCTGGCATGCCCTGCTGAGCTGGGCCCAGTCTTTCTGCCACAGTCTCTGCCCTCTGTCTCTGCTGCCACCCTGGGCTGTCTGGGCCTGGCCCTGGCTGAGCACCCCCTATGGGGCTGGGTCAGGCTGTGTGGGGATGGGAAGTGGTGGGGCTCCTCCTGCTTCAAAGTCCCTGTCCCTTCTCCCTATGCTGCTGCCAACTGTGGGGGTGAGCCCTGTGCCACACTCCTGCAATTCTGCTCCTCTGGCTGGAGGAGTTCCCTGCCCTGCTGTGCAATAAAAGGGCTCCCATGGTTCAGCAGCTGCTGCCTCCATCTCTTTTTTGGCTCCCTCAGCTGCTTTGCCTCTAAGGGCAAGGTGTGAGGGATAGTGTGGCCATGCCTGGGCTCTAAGTGGGGAGGGGAAGAGGAGAACCCCCTTTTCCTTGGGGGGTGGTGGTCCTAGAGCATGGTCCCCTCGGACTCCTGCTCTCCTCCAAGTCCCAGAAGTGCTTCTTCAGTGATGCTGGGTCCTCAGCTGTATTTCTGTATGTGCTGCAGTTTGGTCCAGACTGGTGCAGTAGCCTGGGTCCTGCTGGGCTGGGCCACAGGGGGAGACCAGTCTGTTTCTCCCTGGGTGAGGAGAGTTTCCAGCCCTCACATCCCCCTGGTGTAACTCCCCCCCCTCTGTCTTCCTTCGCCATCATCACTACAGGTGCTGGCCCTATCCCTGCTCCTTGCACTGCACCATGCCCTGCAGTGGCAACACCCTATGCTGTGCTCTGGGCTGAGAGCTGTGCAGGGCAGAGGAATGCTGGTACCTGTGGGCTTCCAACCACTTCTGTGCTGAAATAAACCCTGTTTGTACTTTTATTCTGGCATTGCCTGTCTCGTGCTTCCCTCCATCTCCTTGTGCTGTTGCTGGAGCTCAGCTCCCAGGATTGGTGCTAGGGGCTGTGAGCACTGCTCTGCCTGAGAATGCCAGGGATTTGGGGTGCTTGTATGGGGGGAGTGCTGCGTGTCACAGCCCCCTGGTGAGGGGTGGGTGCCCAGAGCTTCTTCCTGGGTGCTTTTCCCTTTCAAGGCCAACAAAGAGCCACTGTAATAAAGGGGGGGATGCCTTGGCTGGACCCTGGTAACAGGGCTGGGTTCCAGCAGCAGCTAGGAGGCCATGGGGAAGGGGAAGGCTCTAGCCTGGTTCCTGCTTGCTGGCAGTGCGGTGGCCCTGGGTCTGTATGGTGCTGCTGAGTCCCCCCACCCAGGCTGCAGTGCATTGCTGGCTGGCAGCTGGGTGCTTTGTGAGGCCCCACGTTGCCCTTTGCCCCGGCACAGCTGAGATAAGGGGATGGGATCCACTGCATTGGGCCTGCCGAGCAAACACAGGCTGTGCTCCTCCAGCCACTGCGTGTCCCTCCTCCTCCTCTTCCTGGAGCCGAGGGGTGCTGTGCTGCAGCCCTTTGCCACCCAGGGCCAGGGATACTGTGGTGAAGGAAACCGCACGCGCTCATACCTGTGGGAGTCATTTATTCACTCGTCCCATTGCTGGCTCCGACCCACTGGCTCCAAGTGTCCCATTGCCCATGGGTTGCTCATTACCTGGGCGGCGCGTGGCAGCCCTGAGCTGCAGCGGGTCGCAGTGGGTCACAGCCCACTGTAGGGCTCGGCCTCCAGCCCCGCATGGCCCGGTATAGGAGGCAGCTCCCGCCCACTGCCCGGCAGCTCCGGCCCTGGCTCCACCGTCCAGTGGGCCAGCAGGTCGCTGAAGTCAGGGGTGCCGGCGTGCAGGAGGCTGCCGGGGCCGGGACCCGGCTCCCTCCAGAAGGAGGGCGGCAGTTTCCTCCTGTGCATGGGGGTGATGTGGCCGTATTTCCTCTCCAGCCGCTGCGCCTTCCCGCTGACCGCCTGCGGTGCCAGGCACCGGCGCACGCCGTACTCAAAGAGCTCGGCCAGCGGCCCCAGCCTGTGTGTGGCCCCGTGGGCACCGAGTGCCGCCTCCGGCTGCGCCCGGCCACCCCGTGCCGTGTGCCCCAGGCTGGGCGAGCTGCGGGGCGAGCTGCAGTCCTCGGGCACGCCATGGCCGCCAGCGGCCTCTTCCCGGCCCCGCCGCCCGAAGTACCGCTGGATGTCGCAGCTGATGAGCTCTGAGAAGCGCAGGAGTCGCAGCGTGGTCTCTGCGGCACTGGGGCAGGCGGGCTCCGGTCTGCCGCTCTGCTCTGCTGCCTCCTCTTCATCCTCCTCCTCCTCTTCTTCGTCGTCCTCCTCAGAGAGGTCGGGGAAGTCGGGCTCGGGATGCGCAGGCAGGAGCAGGCCGTGCGGGAAGGGTGAGGGCAGCCGCAGCTCGGCCAGTGGCCGGATGACGCCGGCAGCCATGTCGGTGCAAAGGGACACCCCGGGGCCTGGGCTCACCCTGCGGGCAGGGACACGGCATGAAGGTGGCACGCAGCCCCGTCCTCCCACCCTGTCCTGTCCTGCTGCCCCGCTGCGGTGTTCCGCCCTCAGGCATTGTGGGGCTGTGTCACACCGTGCCACCGCCAGTGTGGGGTGCGAGGCAGCGGGGATGTACCCCTGTCCCTGGGATGGGGGCCATGGGACACAGAACAGCAGGGATGTCCCCGCTGATCCGTGGGACACAGGGCAGCGGGGGTGTCCCCTCTAACCCCACTAAGCGCAGGGCAGTAGGGATGTCCCCAGTGAGATGTGAGGCAGCAGGAGCGTCCCATCCGAGTTGCAGGATGTGGAGCAGTACGAACATCCCCTGAGCTACAGAGTAAGGTTAGTGTTCCCCTGGACGTCCCCTGTTACCCCAGGGCTCTGCGTGGTGGTGAATGGTGTTGAGCACCTCCCGCCCTGGGCACAGCACTGAACCCCATGGGCTGCACCGCCAGGATGCTGAGAGCCCACACAAGGACCCCAAATGTTTCTCTGTTAGGGGATAAACCTGGCTCCCTCCCAGCACTGCTTTGTAGGCTCTGGCCACAGCTCAGTCCTGCCGAGCTGGATGAGGCCCCTCTATGCTCTCTATGCTCACTACAGAGCACTCAGCCACATGCCCCATTCCCCTCCACAGGCAAGTGATGGGCTCTGCTCCAGGGGCTCTGCACACCCTGCAGGGATGCTCACCTCCAGGAAGCAGGGAGAGCAGAGCTGCAGGGGCTGGAGGGCATTGCCCGGTGCCGTATCTCCTGCAGCGCCCTGGCTCAGCCCGGCTCGGTCGGCACTCACCTTAGTGCTGCTGCCCGGCCATGCATAGGCTCCCGCGCCGTTCCCCCTCGCTGTCCCTCCACCTGGGCCTGAAGTATTTATAGCGGAGCAGCGAGCTGACGGCTGGCAAATATTTGGTAGCCGTATTGTAATAGTAGACTCGGTAAACAGAGCCAGGGTTTGCTTTAGCACCCAGCAACGGGAGAGCGGCGCGGGGAGGGACGCGGGGACGGAAGGCAGGGCTCACCTTAATGGCTCACTCGCCAGGGGATTTTCAAGTGTTGTTCCTGTAGATTCACCTATTAAATCGGCAGCCCCAGCTGCCAAACTGCCCGCACACTTGTACCGAGGGCTCTTATCTCCCCGCTGATTGGAGGTAAAATCAAGCTTTGTCAAATAGGCGTAAAATTAAATTTCATGCTATTTTGACTCCTGGAGTAGGGATCTTCTGAAGAACACGGTGCTTATCGAGCGCTGCCTGTGCAAACAGAGCTGTGGCTGCAGTGGGTGAACCCTCCAGGCTGCAGCCTCTGAGGTGCTGCTCACCCCCCCTTGCAGCTCCAGATCCCCATCTGCAGCCCCATGCTCCCTGCAGACCCCAAGATGGGTGTGGGGCTCCGGTACCAGCCCTGGGGTGGAGGTTGGATGTTTTGGGGTGTTAGGGCACAGCAGGAAAGGCACTTTGAGTGCTGGGGCTGGTGTCTCTGTCGGGCAGTGCTGGATGCAGAGAAGACAACACTGTTGTGGGGAGCTCTGGGCCAGCCCCAGGGCAGGGGCAGCACCCAGGTGGTAGCAGTGTCACTGCAGACAGGGTGCTGGGATGCCCTATGTTCCTCCTATGGCCTGGGACTGTGTTGGTCCATGCAGGGACAGAGGAGAAGCAACGACAACAGAGCAGCTGATGTCAGCAGAGGGCTGTGGTCCTGCTGTGCCATTTCTGTTCTGGCACTGGGACATGATGGTGTGGCCATTCAGGGGGGTGCAGAGCACAGACAGGGGGCATGGGATAGCCAGGGGACACAGGGTGGCCAGAGGACATGGGGCAACCTACAGGTGACAGCAAGAGGACACGCATGGAATGGCTGCCGGTCTGATTCAGTCCTGTCTCCCCTCCTGCAGCACCTGCTGGGGCTCTCAGGTGGGACACCATGCACAGGGCTCGGGGATGGGCAGACCCTGCTCCAGAGCTGTCCTGCCCCTCTCCCAGGGGCTGACATGAGCTCCTAGTCTGGCCCTGTACCCTGGGGTGAGCTGTCCCTCAGTGCTGCTGAGGACGGTGCCATCCTGGGCTTGTTCATCACCCTCCCCACCCTGCATGTGGGGGGCAAAGCTGGGATCCGAGCCCCAGCCATGCCCCACCGTGCTGCCATCCCTCCCCACGCTCTCCTGCTGGCAGCACTGGGGGGGGCAGCAGGTCCCGCCCAGGCACCGCTGGGCAAACATGGCCAGCAGGAGCTGATAAGCCACGGGCAGCCTTCGATCTGCCACCTGATGTCACCCGCTGCCACGGCTGCCTGCGATGCACAGCCTGGCACAGCTTGGCACAGAATGGCACGGTTTGGCACTGCCTGGTGCAGTCTGGTACCATGGCCTGGCCCAGCCCAGCATGGCCTGGTAGAGCCTGGTACAGATTGATGCAGCTCAGTAGGGATTGAGATAGCTTGGGGCATCGAGGTTTTTGGTTCAGGTCCATCAAAACTCATAAGGTCCTCTCCCTTATCTTGACACTATGAGGGAGACCTCGGAGCAGAGGAGTGAGTCGATCAGGATTGATGGGAGCCAGCATAGGAGACTCAGCTACCAGTCCTTGTTGGTACACGGCCTGAATACAGGCAGCTTTTTGACCAGGCAGATGACCTGAGGTCTGAAAAGCTGGCTGTTCATATGACCAATGGGTAAACCCAGTCCTGTGGCTCAATTCCTCCTGCCCAGTACGCTGCATGGGCGGTCAGAGAGTGATTTTCTTGTCCTGGTCTCATATTGAGAAAGATGCCAGGACCACAAAACCCACTGGCTTCCATATCACTTAACATAATTTTATCTCCTCCTGTCAAAGACACTCTACAAAGATATTCTGTCTGATTCCTGCAGTCTCCTGTAGTATTTCTCTTGTAATTTGGCTAGCTCAGCCAGGGACCATGGAATTGCTCTGGTGGTGGTGATAATGTGTTCAGGCTGGTCATTTTCACCTGCCTTAGTCCCTATTTCCATCTTTACAATGGGTCAGACTGTGGTTATACGGGGAGGTCTCTTGTCACTGCTAGAGTCCCAGATATCACCATGCATGTCTCAGGGAAGGCACCAGACACCAGATTCTGATTCTTAGAAGGGTTACGGGTGGTGGACATCTGCGATATAATTAATTTCAACTCCTCTTGTGACTTTCTTTCCTGAGTTTCAGATTCAGCAAGAGCCCTTTAGATTCTCCTCTTCCCGTCTCACTGCTTCTAATCCCAATTGTAAATCGCTGTTTGTAGTTTCCAAACAGACTGCATATCTCCTCTGCCTATCAGCTCCAGCTTTATAGTCCTGACTTTTCTGTTTCTCCTGTTTAAGTTCCTCAGTAAGCAGAGATACTTTAGTTTTGTCTAATTCAGCACTAAGTTCTTTAAACACCATTTCACAATTGGGGATAGGCTGCTGTGCTGGCTCCTGTTGAGCCCATGATAGACAGACATGCTCCTGGGACCAAACATATCATGCTTTTCCTCTTCCCCACCTTCTTCTGTTCTTTGTGCAGGGTTTCTATCCTCTGGATGGCATTTAGAATCACAGTTGACACTCAACGGATAACAATTCCAAACATACACAAACAAGCATAGGATCTTGGCAAAGCATACAACTAACATGGTAAAGGGGAAGGGGTGTGAGCAGGATGTGTACTTTTGGTTTTCCATGAATTACCAAGTAATGGAGTCCAGCAATTCCCCCAAGGCACAGGATTAGACCAAATTCCTTGAGAGAGGTCTGTAACCAATGCCCCCGGCAAGAAGAGAGATTTCAAGATATTCTTAGGGACGATAACACGACCTGATGTTCACTGGTTGGTTCAGATATTGGTGCTAACGGTGTGGGGCTCTCAGTCCATCTAGGAGGGGATCCTACTCCACAGTGGTCCCTGCACTGTTTTATAATCTGCTAGCATTTGATCTCTGCTGAGTTTGTTACTTAATCACTACAGTGCACACTGCTTCTGCTAAATGGGGTTAGTCTGATAAGCTGTGCTAGGCTTGCCTCATGAAAGAGGAAGGAAAGCCTCCCCTGGGTCCTACAGGAGTTAGCTGCACTTCTTTATTTCATCCTAGAGGCACGGAGCCATAGCTGTGAGCATCATTTTGTGGTCCTGATTCAGTCTAGCACCATTTTGTTTCATATAATCAAGCCACACACTTGCCAGTAACCCACCAAGTTGGGGCTGACTCTAGGCACTAGCTAGGCCATGACTGGAGGGACAGAGTCAGGTTTATCTGTTCCCCAGTGACATAACTGCTGCAGGCCATGCAACAAAAGGGTGAATAGGACTACTAGGCAGAAAACCGTAACCAGACCTTTGCCTAGTCCTGTTTTGTACCTTTCACCCCATTATGCCTTTCCTTTTCTCCAGCATGCCTTTCGAGGAGAATCCCACACACAGGTTGGTACAGCTCAAAGGGGCCTGACGTGGTTCAGCACAGCATGGCACAGGCTGCTACAGCATGATCTAGCAGTGCTCAGTATAGCCTGGCAGGGACTGGCACAGCCTGGCAGGGCTTGGTCCAACACAGCCTGGTTGGGCTTGGTATGGCGTGGAAGGGCCTGGCCCAGGTTGGTGCAGCTTGAAAGGGTCTGACAAGGCTCAGCACAGCCTGGCACAGGTTGGTATGGCATGAGCTGGCAGTGTTCAATGCTGCCTGACAGAGACTGGCACAGCCCGGCCTGAAACAGCTCAGCACAGCCTAGCAGGGGTTGGTGAGGGCCAGCCTGGCCTCATTTGACCTAGTAGAGCCTGACAGCATGGTGCAGCTCAGTGAGACCTGGCACAGGTTGGTGCAGCTTGAAAGGGTCCAACATGGCTCAGCGTGGCCTGGTACAAGTTCAGGTTCAGCGTATGGCCCAGCAGCGCTCACTATGGCCTGGCAGAGATTGGCCTGGTCTGGTATAGCTTAGCATGACCTGGCAGGGGTTGGCACAGCCTGTCCTGGTGCAGCCCAGCACAGCCTGTCCTGGTACAGCCCAGCATGGCCTGGCAGGGGCTGGCGCGGCCTGTCCTGGTGCAGCCCAGCACGGCCCAGTCCGCATTCCCCGCCCCCCGCAGAACTACACATCCCAGCATGCCGCGCGCCGCCGGGAGGGGCCACTTCCGCCCAGCGCTCGTCGTGCGTCGCCGCCGCCGAGGCCGAGGTCGGAGCCGCAGTTGAGGCCGCCGCCGCCGCCGCCGCCCTCCTCCCTCCCTCCTTCCTTCCCTCCCGCCGCGCCCCGCGGCCCCGCGCCCGCCATGTCGGCCCAGGCGCAGATGCGGGCCCTGCTGGACCAGCTGATGGGCACGGCCCGGGACGGTGAGTAGGGGCGGGCGGGGCCTGCAGGAACCGCGGCCTGGCGGCCGAGTGGGGCCCGGTCCGCCTCCGCCCGCGGCCCTCGGGCCGGCGTCGGGGCTGGGGGCTGCGGGGGGGTGGCCGCCTCGCCCCGCCCCTCCCTGCCCGCCGTGCCCGTCGGGTCGCAGCGGTAGGTAGGTGCCCCGCCGTGCGGAGCGCTGCGGTTCGTATCGCCCGAGCGCTCCGATCCGCCTCGTAGCGGGGCTGCTCAGGTCCTTTGCACTTTGTTTCGTAAGTGAATAAGTGCCTTTCTCTCTTTTCGTGTATTGAGTTGCTGTTGAATTGCTTCCCATATATTTTATTTCATACAAACTGAACAATTGTGGCCCCTCTATTTTATTTATAAAGGTTCAGTGTATCTTTGCCTGCCTACATCAATCTGCAAGGGAGTTGCAGAAAAGCCTCATGTTCATCGAGCCGTGAGTCACAACCAATTTTTAAAGCTGTTATAACAAAAAAAAAAAAAAAAGAAAAAAAAATCCAAAAAAAGTGTTTGCTTTTTTTTTTTTTTTTCTCCCCACCAGTAACTTTAAAAGTGTAGTTTAGAAAGAAAGAAAGAAAAACCATTTTCAGTAGACACAATTCCTGGATGCTTGCAAACCCTATTCCTATTGAGTACTACACACCTGTGTCGTATACACAGCTTAGCTTTAAAACTGTCACATACCATTACCACTTTGCCTTTACTTTTATGTATCGTTCCCCTGACTTCCTTACTGCAGGTGTGGGCAAGAAAGCTTTTCCTTTAAAACTTTTCAACAGTGGGCATAAAATTCTGCAGCTGAGGTCTTGAAGAATGCAGATGGGTATAGTATATGTTGGAGCTCGCAGTGTGTATTGACTAACTTTGTTTCTTTTTTATTTTTTATTTTCTTTTTTGCTTTTCTGATACTGTCTTGTTGAAGTGGCTCCTGAGTGTAAAATGTCTCCTGAGGGCGGGAGGAGGGTGGGAAGTGCGCTTCGTGCTCCGGGCCGAGACCTACGAGATGCAGCATTTCACGGCCTTGGAAAACACACTGCAGACTTGGTATTGAGACCAAATGGACTGATGTCTTAATCATCAGATTAACAAATAGCAGTTGCCTATGAAAAGAAAACAAACGAACAGTCAAACCCAACTGCCCAGCACAGCCTTATTTTGTGATTCGCGGCCCTCTGCTAGCTTGGGTTTCGGTATCTCCTGCCCCTTCATTATGGCAAAACAAAAGGGGGGATAAAACAACCAAAAGCGTTGGCTCTGAGCCAGGCTGTCTGTCTCCTTTTCCTCTTTGGGCTGTGCAGTCTCTTTATATGGATGACAGGCCTTGGACATTATTTGGCTCGCCAACACTGTGTTTATCATGGTGTACGATGAATAAATGCTAAAATGGCATTTGCTGCCAACTACAAGTTTTCCAGAATATCCTGTCACCCTCCAAGTAATTCTGGGGAGCAGGAACACCAAGTATTTTAATCTGCAAATTGAGGTGAAGTGATCATACCGACGTTTCTGTTCTCCTGTCAGTGTTCTAATGTCTCCTTATTTAAAACCACAAATGAATTTCAGGAGATGAAACCAGGCAAAGGGTGAAGTTTACAGACGATCGTGTCTGCAAGAGCCACCTCCTGGATTGCTGTCCTCATGATATCCTGGCAGGAACAGTAAGTATTCCTCTGGAATAAGGAATTCTGGTAAGGCAGAAGTTGGCACAGCTCTTCAGGGCTTCTCTGTGCCACCCAGAGTACCTTCTAGCAGATGCAGCCTGGGAAATGTCAGACTTCCCTTGCCCTAGGAACAGCCAGCCATTTTCATCTCAGTTTCCATGCTGTCTTTGGAACCATTACAGTCAGGCATACTCTGAATTCATCCACACTGCTTTTTCTATCACAGCTGATGTGAAGTTGCAAGCTTATTTCTGTTTTGACAGCTTGTGGTAATTAGGACGTGAAGCTCGTGCTGTGGGGGTCGTGGGATCGGAGCCTAGGGGAGCCAGCCTGCTGTCCTGGGTGCTGCAGTGCACTGCATCTTCAGCTTGGCAAACCTCACGAGCTGCAATAACCCTCAATCCTCAGAGCTTTTCAGTCTCCTTTTGTAAAGCAGGTGATATTCTCCCAGTGGAATTTCAGCTTTTTCATCATAAAGGGTTGGCATATAATGGCGGGTTACAGCTCAGGCCAGCTTTGTCTTTATTTTGTTGGTGTGAGAGGTATGTTGCTCTGCCTGACTGCTTTCAAACAGCTGGAACAGTTTCCTTCACTGGTGCCCTCTGGGGATACAGCTGGCCACGTTTCAGAGGCTTGGCTCAGATGTTCTCTGTGAGAGCAGAAGGTGATGTGGTAACAACAAGGTGTTGTGCAGTAAGAATCCTATTCAGTGCCCGGATGAAAGATGCAATCCAGCTTTCAAAAGAAAACACTGTAGGACTTTGGTAATTATTGCATTGCTTAATTGCAGGATGGAGATGAATAACACTCTCTTGTTTGTCTCTAAAAATGTTTGTCTCTAAATGCTGTGACGTTTCATGTTGTCCATCCACTTAACCAGGTTTTTATTTTTAACTGCAGTCCTTGTTTATAGCCCTTTATTGTGTCATTTCACGAGCTGGGGTTTGACACGTGGGTTCCCAGCAGAGGGAAGGGCTGGTATTACACTGCTGTGGTGGCAGGGTGGCACGGCAGTGCTGCCAGGGAGAGCTTTACCAAGCACTGCCTTGGCTCTGAGCAGGCAGATTTCACTTCTAAATGGCTGTTGCTGCCATTTAGGGTAAGTCTGGAAGAATGGAACGCGAATCTTTGTGTTTTCAAAATGTCCTAAGGGATGCAGGGCCAAATTTGGAAGCCCAGGTGTATTTTCTATCACTGCATCAGTTTCCGTGTCACCTCACTTCTGTTTCAGATTTTCAAAGCTTCTGAGATCACTTCTGCTCACTTCCATTCTTCGTGTGAACCAAGGTGGGTTAGGGTAGAGTTTTTTGAACGTGAGACTCTTAGCAGGTTTTTGGAGCCTAGGTGTGCTTTGAAGACGTGTGGTGCCTTCTGCTCTTCCAGCATTTTTCCAGCAGAAAGTTGATGGTGATTTGAAGGGGTTGAACGAAGCAGTGTGAGGGACTGTTTGCAGCTGGTGACAAGGCACGGAGGAAGCCTGGGGTTTGAAGTGTGTTCTGAATGTCCTGGGTTGGAGAAGCACCCAGGAGCAAGGAGGACTGCTGCTACACAGGTGTTCTCGTGGATCACCCAAATGATGTTGTGGTGGCCTTGAAGTGGTTGAGGAGCTCTGTGCACCACTAACAATAGATTCTTGGGAGTGAGAAAATGCATTGGTGCCACAGGTCTGTATGGAGAGAACAAGCCAGGTCTGGAACAGGATCAGCAGTTCAGCTGTCAGTGCTGCCAGCACAGAATGAATCATGCAGGCTTTCACTGTGTGTCCAGACAGGTCTACTGGCATCTTATGGTGCTCTGGTAATGAAGGAACTGATGGGTGAATGAGCCTTAACTGAATGGGGTGACATCCATCTCTGGGTGTGTGTTATTGAAAAAGTCAGGACCTTGAAGCTCCTTGGCAACTTCCAGCAGATGTTCTGAGCTTTCTGGTAACAATTGTGATGCATCCTTTCTCCTGAAGGCATTGTTACTGCTGCATCCTTCGTGTATGCAGCTGTTTCTTAGTGGGAGGCTGGTTGGAGATGAGCAGGGAACTGGATCTGGTCAGTAGCAGTGCTCAGTGAGATACCATCACATTCCCCTCACTGACCTTCAGGTGTAGGGTAGGAAAGACCCAGATTTTGGGGAACATTCTGGAATGTTCCTGACAGCTGCAGAAGATGCATTTGCTTTGTTCAAGTGAGCCAGTGTGCCTGGGAGTGAGGGCTGTAGTGTTATTTGGCATATTCTTGTGATTACTGCTATTTTTTTTCCATCTGAACTTTTCATTACCCTGGTTTTCTTTTTGGTCTCCATGGGAAAGAAGGACAATTCTGGGAGAATGCAAGTTGGTGTTTCTTGTAGCCAGGTACCAGGAGAGACTTGACGTGGAGGTGGTTAGTGGCCTGCAGGGAGCTTTGCAGTGAGCAGTAGGTGCTTTGCTGCTCGTGGAAGTACTGCAGCACATTCTGTGATTTCTGTCTCTGCTGGTGAGTGGATGGATGAGCTCAGAAGCTGTGCAGGTAGAGCAGTACTTGGAAACTGTATTCAAGGAAGTTACTGTGTCCCCAGCGGGAGGTGAGAGAGCTGAAACCTGTAGGTTGCAGGATTACTTTGTGAGTATCTGTGCTCCTGTTTTTTTGGCTGGGCAAATCACTAGAGCCATGATTACATCTGAGGAATGTTCCTCATGGAAGGAGACTGGTGAATTAACAGTTTAGCAGTGGTACTCAGAGGAGACCTCAGGAAGTGGGTTGTGCAGCAAACACAAGGGGGATTTGTTACCACTGACATCTGAACACGTTTGGTCTGTGTCTGAGTGGGGAGTTAAGGCTTTACTCAGGCTCTACCATCTTACGTATCTGTGCCACAGACCAGCCATGGGTAGTGATTGGAGCAAGTCACAGCCCCTGCTACAAAGTCTGAGTATTTGGTGCCAGACTTCCCTGGTGAGACAAGAGGAGTCTTTGAAACAGAAAGGCTAGTAGTGATCTCACCTGAGGTGAGCGATCCGTGAGGAAATCTCCGTGCATAGAGATCACGTCGAAGGATTTGAAGGAAGACCTGAGGTTTGTATGCCAATGAAACCTGGACGTTTTCCCTGGCAGAAGAGATTGAGAGACTTGCTGCCTTTTAACAAAGAGTGAGAGGAATACAGAACACGGTGGCTCTGCTGAAGCCTTCTGCTGGAGCCCCTTCTCTGAAATGGAGTGAGTGGCTCAGCTTGCCAGGAGAGTTCACAGGAGATAACCTATGATCTGTAACAATCCTGTGGAGCGCTGCTCTTTCTCCCTATATTGTAAAGAGATTGCGGTAGAATAACGATAAGAGTAAAAAAACTAACTCATGTAATGCTCTGATGTTTACTAAGTTTTTCTTATGATAAAATTCCAGTAGCTCTTCAGCATTTCTTCAAGAGTTTTGCCTGAAGATGAACGTTATTAAGCTCTAAAAGTACTGGAGCAACTGTTTTTTGTAGGCATTAAATACCCACCATTAGAGCTCACAGCGCTGCTCCTGAATGCAGGATCTGAGCCTGCTGTCAGTGCCTCCTGTTTTGGGTAAATGTGAGTGAAATGAGTGAGATTAAATAGTGACAAGTCATCTTGAATTATGAAAGGAGTTAATAATGCAGATAACTGCTGAAAACCCAAGCATTACCTGGTGGAGCTTTCTTTGATGGCTTTGCTTCATTCTCAGCATGTCCATTGCTGCTGTTGGAACGCACTGCTTCATAACCTGTCCTTGGCAATCCCCAGCTTTGCTTTGGGGCGATGCTGGTGGGTTCTGTGCTGATCCCAGTGGAGCTGTATTTAGCTTTTCCTGCAGTTCTTTCTAGGTTTTTCTGCTTGATGCTGATGGCCAGGAGAGAAGAGGAATGGTGCTGGGATGTTCCTTGTGAGCCGGCACGTACCCTGCTGCTTGTGCTGCTGCCTGTGGCCCACACTCAGGCCTTTTGTTGTTTTGATTTTCAGAAATGGTGTGCTCTTTTTCTATTTTAAGAATAGAGAAATGCTCTCCTTTACATATTGATAGCATACAAATGCAATTTCCACCTTTTGAGAGCATAATTCAGTTATTTGGCCATTAGCTACTAGAGTTGGGAAACCAACCAGATTTAAATAGCATTATCTGCAATGGAAGTGAATAGCAGCATGCAAGTCAGGGTTTTCCAGGAAAGGAGATGCTCTTGTGGAGTCTGTCATTAGATAGAGACGTCAAAATGACCTGATGCAGAGAAATTAGCTTTGAACTGGTGGGTTTAAAGTCCCAGCAGAAGCTGAAAGCAAGAAGGGCTAGCTGCAGAGTTCGGATCTGCTGTATCTGAGCGTGGCGCTGTGCTTTCCTACTGGCTGTACCCCTGCTTACTGTAAATCCCCTTGCCCTTGCTAGGAGGCATTCCATCTGTGTTCTATGGTTTGCTGTCTTTCAGTATGCCGTCAAGGCTCTTTCTGATACAGATACACTCTTCTGTGTGAGCTTTAAACTTAGGGTACACAGCTGTGTGTTTACTGTGCTGTGGCTTCTAAACAGGAGGTGTTTGTATTTGGTGTCCGTTGAAGGAGGTCCTGCTGTAGCTTGCTGTGCCCTTCCAGCTCCCTCCCAGCAATTTCCAAGTCCATGCTGTGACCTGAAGCAGGGGTGGGTCTGGACTTGAAGTATTTGAGGTACTTTGATATTGTTGGAAGGACACCTAGAGAAGTGTTTCTAGCAAACGTGATTCTTCTGGCTAGTTCTGTTACTGATAGGTTAAGAGGAAGCTCTTCTTCCCAAAGAAGTTTTATTTTGATATGATAGATTTGTCAAGAGTTACATATTTTCAGCTTATTGCCATAATGGAGTTTTCTTACATATATTTTCCTTTTAAACAGAGAATGGACCTGGGAGAGTGCACAAAGATCCATGACTTGGCACTGAGAGCAGATTATGAGATTGCAAGTAAAGAGAGAGATCTGTTTTTTGAGCTGGATGTAAGTATGGGGATGTTTTGTTTGGTTTTGTTGGTTTTTATGGAAACTGCCTCTTGAAATCATTGGCTGACCCATAGAACTGAGTGTTCTACTGTGGGTGTTTCAGCTAATCACATTATTTGATGTGGCAAAAATGTCCTGCCCCTTCCCAAACATCATCTTGATGCTGACTTTAAATTGCAAAATTAATTCTGACTCTTGTAACCAAACCAGTGCAGCTAGGTGGGAGGCTCTTTGGGCATTCCTTGCATCCCACACCTGCTGCTCTGTAGCAGGTCATTGTAACCTGGTGGCCTGTCCCAGCAGGAGAACGAATGTTACAAGCTTTTGCTCAGTCGTTTTGCTTTTGGCCACGTTTAGCTTTCTGTGGTGAAACAAATCAAGTGGAAGAACATTTGCCTTCTCGTTTCATGCAGTGCTTTTTATGCTTGTGTCTGTTGCTCACCCACTGGAAGTTGCAGTGCAGAGCTGTACATGACAGACTTAGGGGCAGGGATCGAATTTTACTTCTGCACAGCATCCTTTGTGCCCATTTTTGAGGTTGGCTGTGCACTGTGTTGTTGTGGATTGCACCCCTAGCTGCTGGCTGTCGCTCTGGCACAGAGCATGTGGACTGACAGTTGTTTGAACGTGCAGGCTATGGATCACCTGGAGTCCTTCATTGCCGAGTGTGACAGGAGAACAGAGCTGGCCAAAAAGCGCCTGGCTGAGACACAGGAAGAGATCAGTGCTGAAGTGTCTGCCAAGGTATGGTCCTCTCCTTTAGCCTTTGTTCTGAAAGTCTGTGCAAGAGCACTGATGTTCTGCTGTTGCTCGATTCTGGAGGTTACGCTCAATAAAGACTTCATGCATTTGAGCCATCACCTTCAAATGCTGCTCTGGCTGTTCTTGTGATAAACTTCTTGGTTCCAAGGGCAATAGTAAGGTAAAATATCAACTCTAAAATATATTGCTTAGTTGTGGCTATGATATATATAGGTTTTCCCTCCTATTCAGTGTTCGTGTGGCAGCTTAAAATAGTAAATCCATCTTGTAATCGTTGTCTTTCCATGTAGCAAATGGTCCTGTGGTTTCCTCTTTGGGAACTTCTTTCAGTGGGACAATACAAAACATTTCTGAAGCTGGATTTGTGGTGTCTCCTGTCCTGTAAGCCAGGAATGTGCCACTGTTTGCAGCAGAGCTGATGATGTCCTGTCCATGTATATTTTCTCCCTTCGCTGTCTGTGACTGCACTGCCTGTACTGGGCACACCAGTCCTTTTTTGTTGAGACTCCTGAAGTTTTGTGGTCTTCTTCTATAACAACAGCTTACACAAAACAGTAGGTGTTTTTAGTTTTCTAAGGGAAAAAGGAGAAGTTGCCCTGCAGTCTTTTGCAAGATTTTTTTCTCTGTTTTGTAAAGAAACGAAACAAAAAACAACTGTTTTCTTTAGGCAGAGAAGGTGCATGAACTGAACGAAGACATTGGAAAACTCCTAGCTAAAGCTGAACAGCTGGGAGCTGAAGGGAATGTTGATGAGTCTCAGAAGATCCTGATGGAAGTGGAAAAAGTCCGAGCAAAAAAGAAAGAGGCAGAGGTACGGCCTTGGTTGTCCTGTGATGTGTAGAAGGTGATTGAGTTGGGCTGAGTCCATGACAGACACCAGGGTGGTTCCTACCTCTTTTTCTACTTCACCAGCACCTCCTCTTTCAATGCCAGCAATGTGTCAGCAAGCAGCTGGCAGGGTTGTGTGATAAGTGAAGAAAAGCTTTGTAGAAACTCTGATCTGGTGAAGAGAGATGACTGGGGAGGTGGCAGTTGTTCTTCTGAAATATTTGGTCGGTGCTCAGTTACCTGCAGGGATAGAATGTCAGGTTAGCTGTGCTCACGGTGTTTTGCATGGTGCCTCCTTTGTATTGAGGGTGCTTTTAATGATCCTTGAAAGCATCAGGGCAGTTCTTTGCAGGACTTTCCCTGGAGGTCACAATTGACACTTGCCTGTTATTTTTGTTGTTGTTTTTTGTCTCCCTTCAGGAAGAATACCGAAATTCAATGCCTGCATCCAGCTTCCAACAGCAAAAGCTGCGTGTGTGTGAAGTCTGTTCAGCATATCTTGGTCTCCATGACAATGACCGGCGTCTTGCTGACCACTTTGGAGGCAAATTACACTTGGGTTTCATTCAGATTCGTGAGAAACTGGATCAGCTGAGGGTAATCTTGTCTGTTTTAAACCTTCTCCTTGTAGTTCTGAAGGTATTCAGTACATACAGTAAGTTCATACTTTGCAGAATGCTTATACAAGCCCAGAAGTTTCTGATGTCAGAACCCCTGAAACTTCAAATGCAAGTTTGCTTAGTCCTATCTTGGGTTCTGTTCTGCAGTTTCTGTGTAATGGAAAAACTTTAATTAGAATTAGACCACTGCTGTAATTCCTTCCTTGCATATGACTGCACCAATGGTCTTTTCCATTGGTTTGGCTGAAATTTGTCACCCTTTGCTTCACTTCTGACTATCGGAGGGCACTTTGGGTTCCTTCAGTGAAGTGCTTTAACTGGAGTTTCATACAGTGCTGTTAGTGATTAAGGTCTGCAGCAGCTGAAGTGTTGAAGTTTTCTGGAAGGGTTTGTAATGGAGTTGCTCTGTTGGCCACGCTTGCAAACTGGAACCCTTAACCTCCTTGAGTAAGAGTTGTGGTTCCTGTGCAGTTTTTGTTTGTGCTGAGGTCAGTGCCTTCACTGATCATTGACACTGGGCTACTGCACTGTTCTGTTGTGTGCTTTCTAAGTGTGGTGGGACAGCCCCTGGGCTCACAGCATGCAGACTCATTTCTTACAGCACAGGTGCCCAAAACAGGTGTGTGGAGTGACGTTTCTTGTGCCAGTGTTTGTCAGTGAAGTTGACAGTGAACCTTGATAAAGATCTTGGCTAGCACAAAGAACGCAGCATAACTGTTGTTTATCTTACTGCCTGAGTAAGCTCCCTGCAGATCTGTCTGACATGCTACTTATACTGAGGTATGATGTGAACTTTTTTTTCCTAGAAAACAGTGGCAGAAAAGCAAGAGAAGAGAAACCAGGATCGTTTGAGACGGAGAGAAGAGAGGGAACGAGAGGAGAGGATGGGCAGGCGGTGAGTGAAAGCTGCTAACTGTTTTGTGGAGCTGGTTTTGAAATAATCCGATTTCTTACTGCAGGAAATCAGCAGCTGTTGCTGCATCAGCTGTTGGATGTGCTGTGGATGCTGCGTGGGCACCTTGGCGTTCAATGAAAAATAATGCACAAAATCCCTGCATCAGAGTAATTGTAACCTCCTCTGTCTGAAAACAGAAGCTCAGAAGAGACTTCAGGCTTTTATTGGTCTAGTCCCTGTGTCTTTGGAGTCTGGATGAAGTGACTTCACTGAGTGCACCCAAATGGGAAGACTTAACATGAATGCTCAAATAGCTCTACTAATACCAGAATTCCTGGGACAGCCTTCCTTGGTTCGAGGCTAGGAGGTGACAACAGAGTGAAGCCAGTATCTGTGAGCCAGATGGCAAGCTGCCTGTCTTATTCAGAAAGTTTCCTACAGTAACAGCAAGGCACTTCTGGCACAGTTTTGGAGAACACTTCCCAGCACATCCTCAAGCTGTTCTGCTCAGAGGAATCCCAAGGAGTGGCTGTTTCTGATGTTCATTGCCACTTGTGTCACTTTCTGCTCACGTGTGTATAATCCTTGAGCTGTGGGACTGTGTAGCAATTGGACAGATCAGTGGGATGGGAAAAGGTGTTTCACCAGAGATGCAGTGACCAAAGGATCAGCACAATAGAAAGGTGCTATAAGAGAAGAAGATTGCTTACTTGTATCAGAAGATTCCAGGTTCACGGAGGAAAACTCCACCAAGGAGGGCTCTCCATAAAGAGATCCTTCCTCAGAGGAGGTCAGCTTTTAAATAAGGTCTAAGAGAGGTGCAGCCAGGCTCCAGCCCTTCCCATCACACAGCTGAATTGCCTTCACCTGTGCTCCCTGGGCTGACTGGTCCTTTCCCCAGGTGCTCGATCAGTGGTTCAGGCACATTCCCATACAGAGTGGCTGCAGTGTTGGTATTCTCATGACAAGCCTCCTTCCAGCTAAACTGGAAAAACAAATTCTTCCATGTGCGTAAGTGAGTCAGTTAAACAGCATGGTGTGAAGAGGGTGGTTGTTTGCCCTGGTCATGCAAAGGAAGTGGCTGAGTAGGAAGGAGTGCTGTTCTTTTTGTTACAGCACTTCCCCAGTCACGTGCTGTTTCTCCTCACAGTCTTGTCCTTTGTGAATCCAAAGAGCCACCTTGCTGTCTGTGGAAAGCTCTTTTTCGATGTCAGCTGAAGAGTATTTCAGCCATCTGGCTGCAAGATGCACGGGATGCATGACCACAGTGTGCCTCTGGATATACGTTTCTGGAAATGCTTGCAAACAAGTACCAGAACTGAGGCAGCTTGGCTTCCTGTGGTCTGTGGCTTAGTGGTTTCAGTGATTTGTGAAGGTATGAGCCCCAAATTGTTGTGCATTCTCTAGTTAGTGTGTTTTATAAAGGTTCCCTCTTGCTGTGGATTGCCTGGTGTCAGAGCAAGAACTGTGTTGAGTTGGCCTGGGGTCTGAGTCCTTGCTGGTTTGGTATTTTGCACTACTTAAAGATTGTGGCCTGCCTTTGCCCTCACTCTGTATGAAGGGATCTCTGTGCTCTTCTATTCAGACGCTAAAGAAAACCACATTGTGGAGCCAGGAGTGACGTATAGAGGAGGTCAGTTTTCTTCTCTGAAATGAGAACTTGACCTGAAGAAGGAAAACAGTTTTCCCAGTGGATGCTGGGGCGAGAGCTCAGGTTTCTTGATTTCTAAGTACCCACTGCTCTGTGTGCTGCGCGTCACCATGCCTACAGGGGTGTTTCTCCATCAAAAACACATCAGTGACTTCAACTGACTTAATCTCTGCTTGAGAAGCAGTCTCTTGACACTTAAAGAACCACTTAAAAAATGATCCTTCATAACTGTGACTGCCACGTCTTCATGTGCAGCATCTCTGTGCTGATATCCAGTAAGGGGAACGATGCCACCTGACTCTGAGAAGTCTTGGTGACTTACAGGCACTGTGTCATGCCACGGAAGCCTGTAGATGGGCTTGCAAAGCCATAACTTAATTCATCTGTCAAATGAGCTGACTTCCATGAAGAAATGAGTGAACTGGATTGTCACCCATGGTAGTAAATAAAGACAGTCCTGTGTCATTTGGTGTTGCTGGTGACTCAGTGATCTCTTCAGACTGTAATTATCTGGGAAGCTGGCATGCTGTTAAGCTGAGCGTGCCATGGAGACGTGAGAATGAATGAGGCCTGGATGATTCTTCTCAATTTGATTTATATAATCTGGGGTGAAGAATTTCCAGTCTATCTCTGTTACTGTTCAGTAACAGTTATTCACATTTGCTTCCTCTTTTTCTTTTCTTTTCTTTCCAGCTCATCTTTCCTAAGCAGGAAAAAAATAATTGATGGAAATTTCCACTGATTGTTTGTTAAATCCTTGTGATCAGAGAGAAAACACTGCATTTTTCCTTTATTAAAACCATTTCTTTTTTTAAATGTGCAGCCACCTCAAAGGAACCAAAATGAGAACACTGTTCAGTGCCTATCCCACACTGGCTGGAGAGTGGCACTTTTTCATGACAGTGTTCATCTAGCTGATGTTAGGCCATGGAGGGTAAATTTGAAGTTAGAAGGATGCACTGTAATACTGTATTAACAGAGTGGGAGTGGATGGTAGATCTTTCCTGCTTCACAGAAAGCTTTTTGTGGAGTCAATAAGCTGTCCCAACGAGCTCTGCTGGGACCAGTGCTCCTGTCCTGTTCTCTGCTTCTTTGACAAGTCTGTGACACAACCTTCCCCTCTCCTCCTCCCCTCTGCAACTGAAGCTGATGTTTTTAGGCCTTTTGGCAAGCTTTTTAAACTGACATCTTAATTACTGTGTTAGTGTTGCTCCCTTTGAGAGCTGCAGGGGTGAACGGGTTGTTTGTTGGGGGAAAGAAACATAAAAACCTGCCATACCTTCTCTCACTTAACTGTCTTCTTCCTTCTAGGTCTGGATCGAGGAATAGAGATCGTCGAAGGTGAGTGTGAAGTGCTCCCAAATGCCTGTTTGTGTTTTTATGTAGTTACTGAGGTCTTGTAAATGGAGTTGGTGCTGTGCCTCAGTCTTCTCCTTGTGCTCCCTGAAAGAAATGGGAGCTTCTGCTTGGGCCCTTCTGCAGTACTGTGCAGCTGAATGTCAGCAGCTGAGCTGCAAGGCAGGAGTGGGCTGGCCCAGCCAGAGGAAGGGAGCTGTGCTCTGCACTACCAGCCTAAGAATGCTCTCAATGTCTTTGCCAGTAAATGTCTCATATGCTTTGATAGTTCTAAAGTATGAAATGTACCTGTTAATATAATACCTCAGGTGTAAAAATACAGAGATGTGATACTAAAGCTCCCATCTCTGTGAAGAGCTTGCCTTGATGGTGTGACAACATTCTATAAGTGATTGTGAACCTGGATCTCCTCTACTGTTTTACATAGATGTTGGCACCCTTTATTTGGTTTCTAGAGCAGATGGAAGCAAACCTGCTTTGCAAGTGCAGTGTTTTCACATGGGGGATGCTCTCTTTGGCAGGCTGCCATAGAGGTTATGGCAGTTTCACATATGACTGACTGCTTCAGCCTAAGCGAGGCCTGTGTCACAGTTGGTAAGCTGTGCTCCAGGCATCAACACATCAGCAGCAGGAGTGATTTTTTCATAAGCTTCCCAGCGACTTGAATTGACCCTTTGGGGTCCTGTTGGTAGCGTGAGCCCAGCAATGAACCTCTTCGCCCTGCTGGTGATTTGCCTTCTGTGTTGGCAGGGAAAGGGGCCGATGCTCTGGATTCCTGTTAGTCTGGAAGGTCTGAGAGGTGGGCACGGGTGTGCAGGCCCAGCGCACCGGCCTGTCTCTTGAATCTGAGGCAGTGTGTGCCCTCTGCAGATCCCGGTCTCGGGACAGGAGGCGAAGGCGCTCGAGGTCGGCGTCCCGTGAGCGGCGGAAGTCCCGCTCCAGGTCCCGCGACCGACACAGGCGCCACCGGAGCCGCTCCCGCAGCCACAGCAGAGGCCACCGCCGGGGCTCCAGAGACAGGAGTTCCAAACACAAGTACGTATTCCTCACGTGAGTGCCTCTGAAAAGGGGAGTCCCCGATGTAAGTGAGCCTCCTTTGATCCCTTAGAGTGGGTGAAACTACCACCACTATCTCAAGCTGGGAGCTACAGTGTCCTGTACTGGGTCCTGAGCCAAAGCAGTGTTTCCCAGGGGCAGTTTGTAGATGCTTTCATATGTTTATGGTCTTAAACTGAGACAGGGCAGGTTTAGGTTGGATATGAGGAGGAAGTTTTTCACTCAGAGGGTGGTGAGGCACTGGAGTAGGCTGCCCAAGGAGGCTGTGGATGCCCCATCCCTGCAGGCATTCGAAGCCAGGCTGGATGTGGCTCTGGGCAGCCTGGGCTGCTGGTTGGTGACCTGCACGCAGCAGGGAGGTTGAAACTGGATGATCATTGTGGTCCTTTTCAACCCAGGCCATTCTATGATTCTGTGAGAGCAGTAACTGTACAGTAAGGTCCCAGCTTAAGAGCAGAGTCTAGGAGATAGAACTGTCATTCTCTGATCTGCAGTGCTGAGCCTTGAGAAACTGCATAAGCAGCAGCTCAAAGGCCTGCTGGCACACACACAGTCTCCCCAGATGTGTAAAAGCCAAGTAACAGAAGCAGTTTTGGCATTACATTTCTGTGGTTTTCTTCTGCTTCCCAGCTTCTTGCTCTCAGTGGCACGGGGAATAGAAGTGTAGTAGAATGATTTGGGAACTAAGGGAAGTCTTCTGTTAGGGTAATGAGACAGCAGGTTAAGAGACAGTTATTAGAAATTTCTGTTGAGGGGGGAGAAAGACAGCTGTAATGAGGAGTATACCATTCTGCTGTCACCAAAGAGAAATCCTATAGTCTCTCTTCTGAGACTTAGCAAAACACCCACTGTGTTGGAGGAAAGATGAAGCAAGCCTATATATGTAGTTGTATTAGCAAGACTGAAATGAAACGTTGCGTTTCCCTGCAGCCTTTCTAAGCCTGGGGGCAAGTATATAACCAAGTGTTTGCTGAAGTTAGATCTAGCCTTTATTTTAGTGCTGTCAGTTAATAGATGAATGCTTCAGCAGTGCCTCATCTGATTAGGGACCACCACTAGAATATGCTTCTAGAAACGAACCTACTGTTGTGTATTTTGTCACTTGAGCTAAAGGGTAAGAAGAGGTTTTCAAGACACCTGATGGGAGGGGGATAATGGTCTGAAAAAGATACGTCTGTTAATAACTGTTGGGAGGGGGGGCTGTAAATACTGTTGATACTCCTATGGCTGAGATACTAAAGTCCCTTTTTTAAATCTGTCTTGAACATGGAAAAAAAAAGAAAAGAAGTTTGGACAATTAGGAAGTGAGGAAGACCCTGTAATAACTATTACTAAAGAGCAGGTAAGGGATTACTTTGAAAACCTTGAACACATTCAGATCAGCCTGTTGAAGCTGCAGGTGGATTTGCTAGCTGACATATTTCCACAAAATTACTGAGAAGTGGGGAGAGGTGAGACAATTTTAAGAGACAAAAAGTGAATGAGAAACCCTAATCCTAATCCCTGAAAGTGTAGCTTCTGTTTTTACTCTGAGAATTCATGAAATGTACGTTCTGGTTCTGCTGGTCTGAAGGCTCACTTGGAGGTCTTAGGGTAAGAGAGCTGTGGGCAACAGGCAGCGTGGGGATGGGAAAAGAGTTGATCAGATGAGACAGGCTTGTGTTGTCTTCTGTCTTGTGCTTAAATGGCACGTGTAAGGTAATGAAAGTGACATGTGATGCGATATAGAGGGCTGTAAGGTTTTAAAATAACTCTGCAATAGTTCCAAAGATTAGAATCTGCCTGAGTGGAGGCTGGAATCCATAAGGTACCTACCAGGTCTTTTGCTTATGACTGCAGAGGGACCTGCACACTGAGCTCTAGAAAACTGTGCTGTGCAGGATCTCTGAAAGCTCTGCCTAGTTCTGAAGGGCCATGGGCTGCTTGAGACAGCGATGGGCCAAAACCTAGTTCATAAGCTGACTGACTGATGGATTTGCAGTTGGCATGAATCATACAGCATAAAAACTTTCTAAAATTGGACCTAGTATGAAACCCTCTGCTTCATTCTGAGTGGGCTGACAGCAAAGTGCTGCTGCAAATCTGCAGCTCTCATTTGGGCAGGCTGTAAAAAGATTTGTCCCTGCTGTGGTTTCTGAATTAAAACCTGTGTCATCCTGACTTTGAACCCAGGATGTTAAAGACTGCGCTTGTCAAGATGCAAAGTGACAAAAGCCCAGGACTGAGCAAGCCTTTGAATGCAAAGAATACAGTTGGCATTTAAAGCAGTTGAGCAGAAGGCCACTAGCTTAGAGCGTAAGCAAAACACTGTAAAAGACACAAACGATGATGAGAAAAAGATTGGAAGTGCTTTAGTATGGCCCAGTAAACTAAGCAGGGGTGCAGGGAACACCTTGAGGGACTGACAGAGGCTGCACAGTGCAGTCAGTGCTGCAAAACTGTGTTCTGTTACATAAAAGCTTGTAGAGGGGCCAGAGTTTCCATCTTGGGTGGCACTACTCCCGACACTGCAGTACCCAGGCACACCTCTATAAGAAACCTGTTACAGCGTGGCCCCATTAGCAAAGATTTTGCCATTTTTATGTGCATTCTATGTAAATACTTTGTTCTGAAGCATATAGTGATGGTTTACTTTGTACTTCAGATCTTCTAGGGATCGATCTTCAAGAGAGAAGTCACGAGACAGAGAGAGGAAAGAGAAGAGCTCTTCTGAGAGGCGGCACGAGAGCACAAATGGCAAATCTCGTTCCAAGAGATCAGAGGAGAGAGAAGCTGGCGAGATCTGAACTCAAACGATCGGTGTTGCACTGTAAATAGTCCGATAAACATTCTACACAAAGGCTAAATTTCCCATTTATATTTACTGAATACGACTCATCTTTTGTAGTTTGGAATTTTTATTGTTTGGCAGATAGCTGTGAGTTTGTAGAGACACCCAGTCCCGTACTGTTTAACAGGATTTTGTTTTAGTAGGAATCAATAAATCTGACAGCTCGTTTTCAATCCAGGTGGGAGGCTCACGTGCTGTGTTTGTGGTGCTGCGATGAGCAGGGCAGATGGTGCTGTGGTTGGAAACCTGTGCTCTGTGCTGTTTGTTAACACTTGGGCTCTTTTCATGAGACCTCCCTCCCTCTTTTCACAGTTGGTATTTGAGAACAGCAGTAGCGTTGCTTCTAATTGGATTCATGTCTTTTTCTTTGCTTGTACATGTTGAATTGAAAAGCTTGCTTTCCTCCTTTCAGTGTTTAGCCACCTCGTTTTTACACCTCCTGAGCAGCGCCTTGCTGTTTCAGGTGCTGTTTGGCCCTCGCGTCCCCCGTCAGCTGTGCATCTTTGTGCTGGGGACGGAACGACCGGAGCACATTTCTAAGTCTGTTCCCTGTGTAACTGGGAAAAGAAAAGAAATTGCGCGTACGTAGTGCGCACCGCAGTCAGAAAGCAGCTCGGCGCTGGGCTTTTCTGACTCAGCGCTGCGGAACGGCTGGGGGCAGCGGCTGGGCGCGGGGCTGCGCTGGCTGCGAGCGCAGAGCCGGGCGGAACGGGCCGCATCCCGCAGCCGGGTCCTCCCGCCCGCCTTTCTTTGCCAGCAGGGAGGCGGGCAGCGCTGCGCAGCCCGTAGCCGCGTTACCCGAGCGGTGCGGGGCACAGCGGGCGCTGCCGGCTTGACGCCGTGCCTTCTGCCCCGCCGTGCGCGCTCCTTTCTCTATAAACGCTTCGCTCCCGGGGCCCGCCGTCCCCACTGCGCCGCGGCTCCACTCTGTACCGCACGCCAGAACGACCTGGCGCTCGCCGTGCCGCACTGAACGCGCTGCAGCCCCGCGCCGCGCTCGCCTTAAAGCTGCGTTTCTGCTCCGCCTCAGGGCGGAGGGAGTCCCCGCCCTCTTCGGGGCGCCCGCGGGAGCGCGCTCCGCCCCGTGACGTCACTTCCGGCGGACGCCGTGCGGGGAATGGAGGCGGAAGTGACGGCGGCGGCGGCGGCGGCGCGGTGAGTGCGGAGCGCGGTGCCTCGGGGCCGCGGTGGGGAATGGCGCTGCATGGCGTTCCGGAGCTGCGCGGCGGAATCCGGCGCCCACGGGGGCGGCGCCAGGCCGGCTGTCGCTCTCCCGGTGGGCTGTGGGGTTTGTCGGAGCGCGGCTCGGAAGGGCCGGTGCCGGCCGCGGTGCCGCGCTCGGCCTTAGCGGGAGGAAGCGGTGAGCGCTGCCCGCACGGCGCTCGGTGCCGCCCGGATCCCCGCCCCAGGCTCCCAGCAGAGGGGCGGCCCGGGGAGCTGCAGCTAGAGCTGCTCCCGGTACCCGGCCCTGATCCCGGGCTGGAAGCTGCGTGTCTCCGCGGGGCTGAGCGTGTCTGAGCCGCGTGGGAGCCGTGGGCTTCCGTCTGTGTGTGCTGTAAAACAGGGGGAAAGAAAAATGGATTCAACCCCGAGGGAAGAAACAGGTCTCTACTGGCAATAGCTGATGGTGACAGCAGCAGGTGGAAGAAGGCCATTACTTCATGCCACCACGTGCCTTGCTTATCAGCAACGTGAGGGAACCAGTGGGCAGCAAGGAATGTGTGACCTGTGGGTTAGTTGAGATCTGCGGAGCGAGCTCTCGACTTAAAAATGCCCTTTCCTTTTGTCTTTTCAATAAACGTGCATGAAATGACTGCAGTGTGTTCTAAACAGCTTCTGTGCCTGGAGATCTCCCCTAATCTCTGAAATCTCTGGCAGCTCAGGGATGTTGCTGAGTCTCTGACGCAGGCTGGGAAGCTGTAGTGGGATGGGGCTGACCCCACAGGCTCGCATGGCTCGCAAGGGATCTGCAGCAGTGGGTGAGGGTGGGTGGCTTTGATCCCAGGCTGCTGATAAACTGCTTGTGTTTCTGTTGCTTGGTTATTATTGCTGACGTAACCCGTAATCGGTGTGGCTTTGCAGTGTTGGTGCTGCTTTTCATCAGAGGGTAGATCTCTGTTGGATATAAGGAACTGATCTTTCACAGTGAGGGTGGTGAGGCACTGCAGCAGGTTGCCCAGTGATGTGGTTGATGCCTCATCCCTGGAGGCTTTCAAAGCAAGGCTGGATTAGGCCCTGGGCAACCTGACCTAGCTGTGCTATCCCTGTGTGTTGCAGTGGAGTCGAACCAGATGGCCTTCAGAGGTCCCTTCCAACTCTGGATTGCAGACTGCATCCTTACAAAGGCCATAAAGATCACAGGAGGTGCCTCAGAGCCAGAAGGGACGGTCAGTTTGTGGCAGCTCTGTGTGCACGCCGGGGCTGTCGCTTTGTCGAGAAAGAGTTGTGGGCTGCAGATGACCCCGCAGGAGCATAAGCTTCAGAGTGCTCTGAGTGTATTCAGAGAGGAAAATCTCAGTTGGAGGAAATCTTCAGTGTTAGTTCCTCTTGGCTGGATGCTGATGTAAGTAGAACTGAACTGAAAGGACCCAAAAAGTGACGCATTGCCATTGTGGAGCAGCAGGTGACTGCCCAGTGAGCTCGCTGCAGTGCTGCACACATCACACCGCAGTCAGCTGCTAGGAGGCAGCTACAGTGGGGATGTTGCATCTTATGCAGGGCAGTGTTTGCGAGCTGTTTTGTCATCAGGGATTACAGGGTGGGGTTTCAGCTATTTTGGCTGACACAAATTTGAAACAAACAAACAAACCCCCAAAGCAAATGCTGTATTTGTGTTCCTAAAAGGACCGGTCATAATCTGACTCCAGCACTCTGTAAAACATGTGAACACAATGAATGTCAAATCTGGGTATGATATATTGCTAGAGAATTTCCAGGAAGAAGCATTGTCTTGTGAGATTAGTGCAATTAGGTCTGTGCTTGGGCATTTTATGGGTGGAAAATGAGTTAAACCTTCCATGGCACCAATGCACTTAAATGGCTCCTGTCTCCATACATCTGACTGTGCAGTTCTCTGCCCCAGCTGACTGGTAATGATAGTCTGTCCCTTTGGTTTGGCTGCAGCTTGGCACGGGCAGCTTGCTGCACAAGTTGCACTGGTTTAATGCAAATCAAATCTGCAAAGCTGTGCTGTAGAAGAGGAGATTCAGTGCCCCATGAAGGTGAGTTACACAGGAGAACCTGGAAGCACCATTGTTCTGTGGGACAGGAAAGGCGTTTGTTTGGTTCCTCCTTTTGCTGGGCTGCAGGAGCAAACAGCATTCAGAGCTCAGAGAGTGCCTCACTGGAATTGCTCGTAATTATTTGTAATTATCAGCTATGTCGTGTGCGGTCTGTAATTCTTTCCTTTCCTAGGAAGTCCCTTTTGTGCAGTGTCTCAGGTGAGGCCTCCTGTCCCTGAGCAGAGCTGATGCTGGCCAGCAGACCCAGCACATGCAGCAGTGTTAATGCTGCAGCAGCACGTGATCCTGTTGCTGTGTATTTCATTGCAAGCTTCTGGGTGCATCAAAGCCCCCAGGGAAGTATTCTGTGCCCTCTACCAATGGGAGACAAAATGTCGGCTGCTAGAGGACGGAAAAGTCACCCGAAACGCACACTATTGTTTTCTGCTTGTCTCCAATTAAATTGATTAGCAGACTACTTTGTTGCTCAGAGATCAGACTGTTTCATGTGCTGCCAGCACGTACTTTGGCACTGCGGGCAGTGGGATTTCTGCATTGTTTGAACCCTCGTGGTCATTGTTCTGGCCCTCCATATGCTCTGGCAGGGGAGCGAAGGGCAGTGTTCAGATCCTGAAAGAAGAGAGAAAGGAACTGCTTTAAAGGCACGGAGAGCTTTGTAATCAGGGTCACTGCTGCAATAGAAGGGGAATTGCTGGGGCTGGCAGTATAATTACTACTTTTTTTTTTTTTTTCTTGTTCTCATCCCAGTCTGGATGACAGTGGTGTGGTTTGTGATGCCTCCCAGAAGTGTGCCTTTGGAGTTAAGATGGTGCCCGTTTGGGGCTGGGCAGAGAAGCAGCCCAGTTTCATCGCACGCTGCAGGAAGGGTCACAGGTGCTGGAAGCACTCTGCTGTGCCCCAGCAGTTTTCTGGCTTCCTGCCTCATGGGCAGCAGTGTTTTAAGGGCTGCACTCAAGCTGTGACCAGCAGCATCACCGCAGTGCCAAGGAGGGTGAGCTGCTGCTCCCAGCTCAGAGCAGGGAGATCGCCTCACCGACTCCTGCCCTCTTCCCCAGCACCACAATGGCAGAAGCTGCTGTTGCTCCCCTCCAGTAAATCATTTGCTCAGCCCATGGCTGTGGCCTCGTACTTTGACCCCAGGGATGGGCCGGCTCCCTGTGGTGCCAGCAAAGCAATGCTCTGCTCCCTGCAGCCACTGCTTTCTCTCCTTCGTCTCTCGTCCTGCCGACTGTGTGCTGCAGCAGGTTGGGATCCGACGGCCTCGACGAGTTCTCTCAGGTGCTGGGAAGGGCAGATGAGGTCTTTGGAGTGAGGGCTCTGGAGGAGGACACAGCTCCTACATTATTGATTTAATTGAATTTGCATGGTGTTGCGCAGCCTGGATTCAATGGCCTGGAGAGAGATCTTGTACTTGATGTGCTGTAGCAGAATAAATGCCAGAGTGCTTGGGTACGAATGCTTCGTAGCTACAGCCCTGAGAGCCCAGTGCATGCAGCAGTTGGCTGGGGGCCTGACCCGGCCATCCCCTCCTGCTGTGCTGAGCTGTTTTTCCCTGCTCCTTTGCTCCTTCCCTGTGCTCCATCCCACTGGGCTTGCTGTCTCTGCCCCTGGATGCCTGTGTGAGCCGCCCTGGTGAGGTGAGGGCTTTCCCTGGAGTCGCTCCTTGCTGCTCTGTTTCCTCCTGGGATCTCTGCAGCCCTACAGCAGTGAGCCCCTCCTTATGGGAGCTGAAAGCCCAAGGGCTCTGCACTCACACCGGTGCTGACTTGAAGTTCTTTTCTGCTGAGGAAGTCAGTTGTTGAGGTGGCAGATTTGGGCACACGGCTGTCACAGTGCAGTCATGGAAAGTTGGCTGGGTTGTCATGTTTATTTGCTCAGATAGAACTTGTTATAACGTGGTCATGCAGCTTTTTCCAAGGCTGCTGGAATGCGGTG